ACGGTGCATTAGTTAGTGGAGCTAGTCGTTTCATATCTGGTCTAAAACCATTACCATCAACTAGGTATCCAAGGCATTCAAAACTAGATACACAAAATGAACACTTATTTGGATTCACTGTAATATTCTTGTCAATTAAACGACGCAATAAAGCAATAAGTCTCTGGTCATGAACTACCTTATTAGAGCCATGAACAATGAGATCATCTTGATAAACTTCAACACCTTCAAGATCGCTAACTACCTTATAACTTTCTGAAATATGGTTGGAGAACAACTTAGACCAAATGGGAGAAAATTGTATTTGAACAGACCAAAAGGAGTGTTAATTGTCGTCAAAATAGATGAAGATTCATCTAAAGGAATTTGAAGATAAGCATCTTTTAGGTCAACTTTCGAGAACACTTTAGAACCATGAAGTCGATTTAGAATATCTCCAGCTTCTACCGTCGTGCACGTTTGCCTCAACAAACGGGAATTCAGAGTTAATCTATAGTCACCACAAATTCTAGGGGTCTTGCCGTCCGACTTCAGTGGCATAACGATAGGAGTACCCCGTGCTGAAGGCTGAATTGGTTCAATTATGCCTTTCGCACACAAGTCGTTTAATGTCTTACGTACTGCTTCTCGAAGACCATAAGGAATTATCCGTCTTTTAAGAAAGACTGTATCACCCTGTACTTGAAGTTTTATAGGCCGAATTTTCATACCTCCACTGCACTTAGCACACGTATCTATCAAATCTTTATGTAAAGCATTATAATTTTCTTTAGAAACTGGGAAAGACAACTCCACTTTAAGCCTTTTCAAAGTCTTTAAACCCAGTATTGACAGTTCTGTTTCACTAACTAAAAATTCACAAGGTATGTATGAAGAATTATCATCTCTTATTAGCGATTCACAACACCCTCGTATGCGCAGTCTGTGTCCAGTAATCCCCAATATTGATACTTCAGGCGGTCGAAACCACAACTTTAGGATCTAAAGATTTCAAGTTCTTGAATGAAATAATGGACTCTGTACTGCATGTGTCCACGATAAAGTCATGAAATGAACCAAGCGATGTATATAGTCGTACACAAAGGGGAAAACAAGGTCCTCAAATACAACATGAGGACAGCAAACCAATCACACTTGATGACGAAACTCTCGAACATGTAGTATCCTTTACATATCTGGAAAGCGTCATCGATGAATAAGGAGGTGCAGATGCAGACGTAAAGGCAAGGATCGGCAAAGCGAGGGGCGCATTCCTACAATTGAAGAACATATGGAACTCAAAACAACTTTCGACCAATATCAAAGTGAGAATCTTCAACACGAACGTCAAGGCAGTTCTACTGTATGGAGCTGAAACTTGGAGAACTACAACAACCACAATCAATAATGTACAAGTATTTATAAATAGCTGTCTACGCAAGATTCTCAACAATCATTGGCCGGATACCATCAGCAATAGCCTTCTGTGGGAGAGAACAAACCAGCTTCCATCTGAAGAAGAAATTAGGAAAAGACGATGGAAATGGATAGGCCATACATTACGCAAATCGTCAAACTGCATCACGAGGCAAGCCCTAACTTGGAATTCTGGAAGGCAGAGAAAAAGAGGAAGGCCAAAGAACACACTGCGTCGGATAATAGAAACAGATATGAAAAGGATGAATAGGAACTGGACGGAGCTAGAAAGGATTGCCTAGGGCAGGGTTGGATGGAGAATGCTGGTGAGCGGCCTATGCTCCTTCACGAGGAGTAACAGGCGTAAGTAAGTAAGTAAGTTCATCGCAAAACTAGAAAACAACCAACTCAGTTCAATGACTAATCGATTTCACCTATACGTAAGATACATGGACGACACATTTGTCGTTTGTAATGATAATATTGAATTAGAGGATACCTTACGCACCTTCAACTCATGTCACTCTTCCATAGACTTCACGTTAAAGAGTGGGCGAGGCCAATCCATCTCTATTCTCGATGTGCGTCTGATGAGAGGGAGTAATTGTTCCTTGAAAAGATCCATCTTTAGAAAACAAACATGGAATGGCCAGCTAACCAACTTCTATAGCTGAGTCTCTTTGAGTAGAAATAGAAGTCTCATCCACTCATGATGTCACCGAGTACATCGGATATGCACTATGGAATGCATTGACGAAGAACTCGCATTCCTCAGGAAAACCTTGACGGAAAATGGCTACCCAGACCGTTCAATAGAGAAGAATATGAATAGAAGTAGTTGCGGCAGGAAATCTAGTTTTCCGTCCCAAAGAAAAACCTATTTATAAGTGTGAAATTTAAAGGGAATTGAACATCTGACGTAATCAAAAATCGCCTAACGACAGCGATTAAAAGAACATTCAATGCTGCAAAACTGCGAATAACCTTCACTAGGAGGAACTTATTTTCTGTATCCATAAAAGATAAGCTTCCGCGTCTGGTCGCCTCCATGTGCATCTACCAGTTCACCTGCTTTTGTGGAGCAAGGTACATTGGCCGTAGCCAGCGCTCGCTTCCAACTCGGATATGAGAATATATTCCAGTTTGGTTCTACAAGGGTGAAAGGAAAGCAGTTTGGAGTTCTATACTTGAACACCTAATCGACTAATCATTCTACGGATCCAGTTTTATTTTAAGGTTGTTTCTTTGATTCGTTCAAATCTACCTCGATTTCTCCGTGTCCAACTCTTAAAAATAGACGAAGCTCTTACCATCTATGAGCTCCATCCAGAACTATGCGCACAAAAGAAGCACGTCTTATCGTTACCTTGGCCTTATTATTATTTTATCGTTATTATTACTGCATTGACCTTTACTTATGTCTTATATTCTCATTATTTTATTCATAAACACTCATCATATCACCTTATTTATTTTCACACCTCTATGAATTTAAGTATTGTAACAAAAATATTTTAATCATCTTATTATATTCACTAAATCTAATGTTATTATTCGTATTATCTAATCCAGTATTATGATCTTTCTATTACGAGAGGCAGCCGAAATTGCTGAGTAAAGGAACCTCAAGGAATATTAATTCCTGAATAGACCTAGCCTTTATTACGCAAATCATCTGATGTACCCTTAAGTAAACCATGTTGATATGCGTATAGCGTGGAAAAGGTTCACCTGCCCGTAATTCCAATAACAGTTCACGAACAATATTCATTTTTAAAAGTATATACTTCGTTAGGCGACTGCACGGATGTAGTTTAGATTAATATTAGTTTGTCAATTCAGTTGTTAACTAAAGGAAGAGGATATAGCTTACTGCTTAATACATTGAAAATTAAAGGCATGAAATCGCTGTTACATGATCCATTTTTAAAAGCTCCAACAACATACACAACCTTTAGTTGAGACTGAGAGAGATTCCGATTCAGAATTTTAATGAACTTGCTAACACACCACCTGTTGGAATTACACACATATATGACGAGGAAATCAATGTAATTACCGAACGTGATATTTACGTGGTTGAAGAAGTAGTAGAAAATATCGGATTTATATTCAACAAAAACACTTTCGCTGGTTGGTAAGATACGCTGTTCACAACACAGAGGTCCTTACACTAAATCAAAGGTCCAGAGGGTATTTAGAAGGACTGCTAAGATACATACTTGACGAGGAATTCAACTATATTAATCTTGGTATTAGAGAAGTTAGATCCGTGGTACAATCATGCAACTTTGTCAACGGTCATCTTTCTAATAACCTTCCTAAGAAGATCGAGAAGAAACATCTACGATGCAATCATGATGTAGAGATTATGCGCCTTGACAGGCAACTTGGGAGTTTTTAGATTGTTTTACTGCCTTGTGCTGTTAAATAGACTAAACACTACGACCTCACTTTTGGGCGCTCTTCTAAGGTGCCAGCAGCAGCGGATAAAGAGGGTATGTCTCTTGAGTGACAATCTCTGGTCATGACAGAGCTTAGTTGAGGTTTTTATAGTGAGAATATAACTCAAGGAAAAAGATAAGGAAGTACAATCATGTTGCTCACCCGTTTAATGCCACATCAGAAAACTTTCACGTTAACTTCATTTCACGCTGAGCCACGACCATAATCAAGTCAAACATACTAGAGTTACAAGGAGTAGGAATTAAGTACACTTGCGCTGACTGCCTAGCATCGCCCGTAAGGATGAGAATAGCATTTTACAACCAGTATTCGAGATTGGTTGTCATAACCCGGGTTCGACCTGAAAAATATGTGTCTAATTTTTGGGACATCGTAAGGAGTCAAACTATGTGATAAAATATCAGTGATACACGATTTATCTATGAACCTGTCAATAGCAGATTGTACTGTTGAAATACAGTAAAACGCAATTAACTACAACATAAGGTCTGCGGTAGAACAAGAGTAAACCGGTTACCCAAAGGAACGTTAGAACACTAAGCATGAATTATTTCTTGAAGAAGATCCATGTTCAGTCTGCTTTCGGAGAACTTCAATTGAGCCTACAGAGGCCCAAAAGGAGCCGGAGAGCCCTAGCCAATCAGAGCATGATGGAGCATTCTAGAATTTCAACGTGGCGTGCTACTATTGGTCAGTAGCATAATATGTCGTTAACGGATTGACCGAAATATGATGTTGATTTAACAAACGTTAACATCTATAAATACCCATGTCTTCTGTACAAAAACGAACCTTGGAGTAAAGTGTCTCTCTCATACTTTGAGCCTTCTTTCTGGTGTTCAGGTCGCTGTATAGTTCTAGCGTGCGAGTTATCAGAATAGCTTAGGAACGAATATAGCGTCTAATCAGCAAGACTTAACAATCCACCTCACATACTAAGAGTTATCGTTTGCTATTACCTGAATTTATTATCTTATGAAAACTCCATTTACATATGGTCTACTTCTTCAACACTTACTCGCATAGATTATTGAAACGAATGCGTATGTACTGTAACAAACCACTCCAAAAAGTGTGAATACTGTACACATTAGCTCTAACCGATAAGACTAAATTGGACACATAAAAAACCTTCAATCTTTTAAATCAAACATAGTATTTGCAAACAGGCGCTATAAATTATACAGAAGTGGATAAAAAATAATCTGACAGTTCAAAATATAATTCTATATCACAACTTCATAGATCCTCCAGTTCTGTCAAGAATATCTTGCATTGTTAACGACTGACCCGGAGATACTCCATAACCGTTCTGCAAACCACCGGAATTTGATGGAGTAACACAATCATCTTTGGCCTCTTTACGAATGCAGGTATCAACTTCAACTGAACTGAAAAATGCTACTGACTAACAGAAAACAACCGATAAGAAAAAAATTAAAGAGAGTAATAATGAAAAATAATTAAAAACTGAAAGAAAGAAAAAAATAAATTATGATTAAACTCAAATACTAAAAAAATCAGAAACCACTAGAAATCAAAAGTGTAGAGAATATTTTACACATTTATAATAACAAGATTATGATAAAACACCTATCTATAAAGAACAACGATGATTAGGTTAGTTTGACCAATGAGATACTCAAAATAAAAGAAAATATAAAGGAACAGACAAATTTCAATCATGATTTACAGGTAAAAATCTTTATTAATATAAAAGTTGATGATGAAATGTAGATCAATGGATGAAAAAAAAACAGTTCACAATACTAATGATATTTTAAGTTATTTTTCAAATTTATTCATTCACATTGTAAATAAGGCGTGTAAAATCTATTGCATAAGCCAAAATTAGAAAAGAGTTACAAAACTAGATTTCGCAATTAAAAAATATATTATATATTACATTACTAGGTACATTATTTTACGTAACGCGGTTTAACTCTAAGTACAATGAATAAGAAACAAGATATGTAAATATGAAGAAAATGAACTTATTCTATCAGTCTTCCTACTTTGACGACAATATCATTTGTTCGTGTGTGAGCGAATTAATGGTGTAAAATATTCAATTTCTGTTAGTATGTTTAATGATTATATTAAAAAAATCATTAATACTTCCTAATTCGATAAGACGAATTCAGTGAAAGTAGAGCATACATAAATTCTGGGAGACACAGTGAGATAGATAAGCCACTTCCATTCAGTGAACATAGTCTGCATAAACTAAAAGTATCTCACAACAAAAGTAATAAGACGTTAATTTGGTGTGCTTTACTTCAAGAACTTTATGCATTTTTCAAAAAATATTATCCACTTTCCAATCCCAATATTGGAAAGGATTCACTACATTATCTCATTAAACTGAACGTGAATATATTCACAAAAGAGGTTTCTTATCAAAAATAAGTAAACACATTCACAGAAAATTCGTTATCACCCACAAAATCATCGTTAACAAATGCCCTGTGGCAACAAACAAACCGAGTTATAACACCAAAATATAAGGAAGTCATCAGTGAAAATCATCGTTTATCTCAGTCAGCATCCGTACTTCATCAGTTAGCCTATTATGCAGTGAAATACTAATAGCTTGATTTCCTTCAAAGTTTATTACGAAAAAAGGAGATTGAGACAACAACTCATTCATTTACCTGTCACGTACAATCTGCACAGAACAAAATAGGCATTTAATACGCTCAACACTGTCGTTCACACTATATCATAACAAAGAAAATCTTTACAAAGAATTCTAAACGACTGCGTAAAACATCAAAAGCTATTTTGCCGATTCTCATTATCTTGTCTCCATATTACAGACACCCCGTACAAAAATAGTGTTATAAAACGAAGCAAACAAACAAAACGGAACTGAGTAGACTAAGAGCAGTGTGGTGGTGAGAACTACAAGGATGGCCAACCTGAGTATCATCTTTGTTTAGTACATAGGGAATACATACACAACTGCTTTGGTATAACTCACCAATTACAGATTCCTGTACTCGGCTTACAGAGACACACCTCACATGTGTGTAAGAGTCTGTGATACTACCGAACTGCACGAACTAAAACAAGTGGATCAGGACTCGGACTGCATTGGAACTACAACAGGGTGGACTGCGTACATACAGCATATAAACCTCTCTGAACCAAGCACACAATAATTAAGTCGTGTACTATCCCATTCCTGTTGGCTGACCAAACAACCCAGATATAAGAACACGATTGAAACATTACAAAAACTGGGTACTCCAACACGGTTAATCACAGATGAAAGATTTACAAAGTTGTGGACTGTTAAAAATTACTCTTCTCCAAGTCGGATAGAAGCCACTCAATCCTTACTCTTGATGAAGACGAATATACGACCACAACAATACCTCGACTCAATAGTAGGATAACGAGACGTAATCTTAAAACAGTACCTTCTTTAATAACTAGGGGATCCATCGACAAACCGCCCCAATCACATCTAATGGTTGGTCGTTCCTCATCGTTGATAGAAAACGCTTTACTAGAATATTCCGACAAAGCTTTGGGTTTTTCGACTTCATCTCTTTCCAATACCATCTGATTTTATTGTGCCAAAAGTTACGGGATTGCATCTTTTCTCTGAGTTCGCTTCTTCATATGCGAGAATAAGCGTTTGGGATAGTGTCACATTCCCTAACCAATTGTTTTACATGTGGCCGTGTAGTGTTGCTTATCAACGCTTTACAAGCATTCCTAGTTTTACAATAACTGGATCTGTACTGTTCTAGACCAGTAGAGATGAACATATTCCAATGCTTTTTCCTGCACCTATGGAGTTTCTTGACCTGTTTAGTTATCCATGGTGGACAGGTATTCGGTCTACGTGGTACCAGTTACGGTATAAACGAAGACGTGACTGAACTATGCTTGCCTTTAAACATAGACCATACTTCTTCAACTGATGAGCTAGTATCTACTATCCATTCTGTTTTCGCAGCACACTCCTGAATGGCTGATATGTTAGCTCTCTACACATTTGAGCGAGGCTTAACCTGATCGTATATCATATCACTAGCTTGAAACGTGAATGACAAAAAAGAGTGATCGCTATTCACTAACAATGGAAGAATATTTAGGTTGGCAATATTCTCAGTCGCATGAGTGATTACCAAGTATAACAAAGAAGAACCTTGGTTTGCACCAAAACGAGTAGGTTTGGATACATGCTGTACTAATGCATGCTCCATTACAGTTATCAGGAACCTGCTATCAATCGACTTCATAGATCCTACCATGACCGCCTCAATTAAACTAATATCAGATGCATCAAATTCTCTTAATTTCAAGCATCTGTTCCTTGAACTCCGTGGCTGAATGGGCTCAAAAATAAAGTCATCAGCTAAGCAGATTGGGCTGCGAAATATGATACCGAGCAGAAATGTGCAGCATCCGACAGTCAGCTCACAGCAAATGACCTCACAAGTCACACTATCATGGGATTCGCAAACAAAGGAGTGGATATTTATATTATTGGTTATATACAAAAGGACGCCACCTCCTTTCCTACATCTATGTCTATCACTCCTTAGGTAGTGGTATCCAGATAATTCTGGGGTAATATCTAAGTCATGGACTAACTACGTTTCTTTCACAGCTACAATGAGTGGCTTTAATTTGTCCACTAATGCTCCTAGTTCATAGAATTTATTTCTTAGACTATGAGTATCGGTAGATAAAACTCTCAGGGAAAACGGCCTATCCACACAGGCCTTGGTAGCACTTGCTTTCAGGACCTGACTATCCGAAAACCCACTAATCGGAGATCTTCCTCTCCATTTGTCGATAGGTTTCTAGTTCAGCTAGTGCCAACTTCCTTTTTATTCTATCTCTCTCATGCTCATAGCAATTATCATTTATTTAATAATAGCATAATAATATTTTAAAGTTGAATAATTGGTGAAAAAGTCAGTATTAAGAAAAGAAACTTACTTCCGGGAGATCGCGCATGCCTAATTGATAGGCGAAGAATGTCCTTGTCAGTAGATTGCTAATCTGTTGAAATGATGTTTTTCGTTAAAAAAATATATAAAAAGACAAGTAAAGATGACAAACTTGTTGGAGACTAAAAGTGGTATGAACTTTTATGATGAGATTACTATGAGCAAAAAGTAGTTTGTATCATGAGTAAACAGATTAAGAAGAGGTGAAAATGAAAAGTCATCGAACAAACGTACAGAATAACCATTTGTCCTGGTACAGTAGTATGACACTTCGAAACTACACATATGGAAATCCAGTCACCAAAGATAATTAAGATAAAACAAAAATGAGAACTAAGAGAAAACTATTATTACTTTGTATTGTAACTGAAAATGACATTGGATACATTATCTCTACATCAACAGGACGTCCTAGTCCACCTACAAAGAATTAATAGTTTCCAACTGATGCGTTACATTGTTCTAATCCATGTAACGCGTGTACCTTCAAAATTTTTTTAAAAACTGTATCACACTTCGAAAGCATTTAGAATCATTTATCTGTTCTTTACATGTAACATGGCTATCTATATCAACCTGATTATACCTGAAAATCGCTAAGCGTTTTACAATTATTTACATAATATACTATTATTTATTGATTTGAGAGAACTAAACACCGATAATAATAATAATAATAATAATAATAATAATAATAATAATAATAATAATAATAATAATAATAATAATAATAATAATAGTAATAATAATAATAATAATAATAATAATAATAATAATAATAGCTAAACTGACTTGCAAAGCTAATGCAACTTGATACATATGTGGTTTTGGACAAATATATCGCAATTCATCATGAATACTTATACATAAACGTGCAGGAATTTTAAATTTATTTATAAGCCAACGCATTAAAACAAGCATACAATGTAAATAATCAACAGCAGAACTTTGTACAACCCAATTTACACGACTTGGTAAAAACTAAAACACAAACAAAAGGAAGTATACAATTAAAATTCGAAAAGATAATTCGTATTAAATAATGATATGAATATGGTAATTCGTAATTTCTGAAGAGAAAAAAAGTTTGTGGTGATCAGATCACTCGGTTCTCTTCTTAGAAATGGCAGATTCAAACAACGCATCTACTGTCTACTACTTCAGATTGGGTATCTAGGTAGTATGATAAGGCTTCCGTATGAAGGTTAGACTCACACAAACCTGAACTTGTTAATTGATTTCAATGCGCGCTAATTGTAGCCAATGATTGTTTGATGTCATTTATCATGTAAGCTAACCTTTGCAACTCATGTGAATTAATCATAATCATATTTCATTATTGTGTTTTTTCTAACTAAATTCAAATATTAATGTGCAGTAAGATCATGATACACATATATACATTACTTATTGTAATGATATATTAGCGAAGTCTGTGCGGCAAGTTTTATCTTCATTTAACAAAAAGGATAAAGATCATGTTTCTAAAGGTCAATTTCGTCATTATTACGTCGCTTATGGAACACTGAAATATGAGAAGAGACGCTCACTATCGGGAATCGACAAAAAGTTTCATACTATTATTACTATAAGAATATTTTATGATAAAATATATGATAAACAAGATATTTAACGAAAACTAAAAAAATCTCCAAATACTTACATCATCCTTAACAAGTTTCGGATTCAATGCACGAGTTAGTTGTGCATTTAAAAATGGTGTACGAGGCTCTGGACTACGAGCAATTGATTCCAATTGATTGAATACAGCTGACTCACTTCCACCTTGCCATTTAGACGTTGATAATGAAGTACCATCTCCGGAAGGCGAAGAAGAGTCCACAATAGTTCGGCGTCCTTTAGTAATTTGAAAAAGTTGCTTTGCTTTTAAACTAGCTTGTTCTGGCTGAAATGGTTGGAAAGTAAAAACAGAGAGTAGCAATATAACAGCTATAGTCAACTTGAAATAAAATTTATTCATGGATAACATTTAAGTGCTTATGCGACTGAGCATTGAAAGAACTCCTCACACAAACGAAATGATAATATTGTGAAATAACCATAAAAGGAAATATCCATATGATCAAAAAATAAATAGACAAAATCAATATTTAATAAAATACACATTCTAATCAAAATACAACCAGGATAAACTTCTGTTAGTTAAGATGCTTCACTTTGCTTTATTAAATATGTAATAGTCCCTGCCACATGCCTTTTTTAGCAATGTCGAATAACGTATCGAGTCACACTGAGTTCCGCAGTCTTCAAAACGCTATTCAGAGAGTCGTGAACATATAGCAGCCTTATACATCTATTCCCTTCGTCATGGCGCAATTTCATGAGCTGACCACTTCTTTGTTTTTCTCACTTAATTCAAGAATCCGCAAATAATGAACCACAAAGATGCCATTGAGAAGGCTATCATAAAACATCACCGTCAGATGTAAACTATCGTTCGAAGACAATGATGACCGAACACAGCCATGAACATTTCCAGCTACAGGTGACGCGAGATTTTACAAAAACAGAACTGTATTCATACACCTACTCAGCCAGATGCACAAACAACTTGCCACAAAGGATGAATCCGGGAATACACTGAGCCCAATCTTGGATAAGTGATTTATATTTCGTAAGTCCTAGGTATATGCTATTCTTGTGGATGTAATTAATTAAATGCAAATGTATAAAATAACTAGTTCAAGATCTATTCTAAATACTAGTTAATAAGCACAAGAAATGAAACAGAATACAGATGAGATTGAAAGTGTTTTTAAAATTTATGACTGAAAAGAACACTGTACAAAGGGTAAGAGTCAAAGCAACTTACAGTAATATTGCAGAATTTTGCTAATAAGTGCGATGCAAATTCAATGCCTGAACCATATAGTCTAGAATAATTCAACACCTTTGATTCACTTCGTTTAATACCCATTTCTTTAGCTATTTTTGTATGTAAATCAGTTCCATCAAGTTTATTGCCTTGTAGTGTCATCCAACCATATGGAGTTGAGCCTGATAGGAACGTTAATAAACACATATACACACGTACAAAACCATAATAATGAGTTGAAAAAAGTTTGACGGAATCATATTTCGAAAATTGGAATTTAAAGAAGATATCCTTCAAAATGTTTAGTCACAAATATGTTTCCATGATCTGTCGTCTTTACGTCAAAAATAATAACGACTAAAAAATAGATAAGCAATACATGAATAATATTCTGAAATTATTATTTACTAAAAGTTTATCACAATGAACTTAAACATGAATAAAATGAACTCAACACATACAAGCTGAAACTGAGATTAATCCGGCAGGTGTATCCATTATACCATATTAACCAACAATAATCATATTGTTATTGATGAATTAATGATTCACTTCTGTTTTGATTGACTTTCCATGGGGCTATGGCTTCTTAATTTATTTTCATATAAATAAATTCATTGATATATTATTACATAAGTATAATACGAAAGAAAATAGTTGAAAAATTGATCTTTAGATGTACTTTTTAAATTATATAAAGCATTACCTTGACCAGTGAATCTTGATTGCCTTATTTCACAGAACATTTCCAAACAAACACATCATTAATGAATCTTAGTTAGACCACTATTGAAAATCAGGAAGCACTAGACTAGTGGAATTCAACAACGAGGGATGTGAGACAAATTATCCACAGAAAGTAATGAAAGATGACCACGTAGTATCGTCAACTGGTTGGAATTGGAAATGTAACCAATTGAATACCGGCTCAGCGGTCTAAAGATTAACCATGCGTCGCGAGATCTGAAGGTTCCTGGTTTGATATGTTTTAGGGTTGTGGATGAGTACTGCTGAGAAATCCCACAATAAGACGAAAACACTATCCAATATTTCCTGCTTTTCAGTGATTGGGTTGGTTTGTAATAGACGATTACCACAAATCTCTTCACTGATAATTTACAAAGTAGGGGTTTTTTATTATTCATTGAAAATTCCATGAATACTAAATTACTACGCTGTATATTGTATTGTACTATCAACGGAAATTGTTATGACAGTAAACACTGATTTGATATAATTGCTTGAATGACAGAAAAGGTCAGACACAAACACTTTAAACAAGCAACAAACAGACCTAAAATCTCAACTGAATAAAAGACAGAAATATTAACCAATCTCTTGACTATAACTTAATAATTAAAACCATTATTCATGTAAAAAAAGATACTGTTAAGATAATATCTAATTAAAACATTTACCACAGTATACAAAACAAAAAAAGAGTATGAAAATGAAAGCCAATAGTAAATGGATAATAAAAAAATCACTTCTAATCATCATATCAGAAATATGCTCTAAAACAAAAGACAGTAAGCTGATCTGCAATATTTTTTCCATTGAATCACAACTTATAAAAATAGTGATTAGCTGTGAAGTGCTCCAAATACAATGGATTAATATATACAGAAAAGCACTAGGAATCTGAGATTTTTTTAGAAAAATTATTTCAATAGTTGAGATCATGAGCCAATTGAAGCTAGACCACCATTGTGGGACTCCTCAGCAGTGCGCATCCACGAACCCAGGACCTACTGGTCATACACGCGAGCACTTAATCACTAGACCACTGAGCCGGCACCTAACGGTATTAATGTTATTATTTATTTGTTCCAAATGACAACCATTGAGAAAAATATCTCGTATTAGTTCGGCTCATTCAACTAATAATAGAGAATATTGCTACAATATGGTAGATGCATTAATTGCTGTTTTCTTATAATTTCCAATCAACTTTTTTCGTATTACTATAAGAAATACTATAATAAACAGTTATCCCAGCTAATATTAGCCGAAGCAGTTATCGATGTAGACGACTTTATTCACCTCTATTGCATTGTAATCTATCATCCAGAATCATTAATCCAATAGACAGGGTTGTCCATTATCAATATGAGTAAACAGTAACCGAGTGTTCAAATCATTTTGACTTATATCTTGACAAATAAGCATATCGAAGAGTTTTATTTCGCAAACTATAAGTATGAATTATCTGTTCATAAAAATAGATCAATCATTACAAAGATGAAGTTGGTTTTTTGTGAACTAAATTACACGATAACACATTATAACATGATTGGTGTTATGTATTGATAACCAGTTAAGCATAGGTTGAACTTTAACATTTTTCTTTATTCCACTACCAGACTTTACCAGTACGGGGGTAGTATAGCGTTTTTATGTCATTCCAAAAACAGAATAACATTTATTTATAGTACACTGTCATCGATAACTAGTATATTGGTAAAGCATTATTATAATGGATAGAAAAATAACTCTAAAAGCATTATCATACTGGTGAAGTATAAAAACAGAATAAATGAGGATAATAATTACCTTGGAAACCAACACCTGCATCACCAATTAAAGCAGCAATCCACATTTCTTGTGAATCAACATCAGCCCCAACAAAAACATAACCAGGAGGTGATTGAACCATAGCTTTGATTTCACTTCCTAAACGATTTTCATCGGCATTACTAGCAGTTAACCATAATGGTTCAACAGCTCTTCTAGACACTGTACCACAGGTTATAACTTGAGGTAGAATAGCTCCGTAGTTTGCTTTACAATTATAGAATTGATCACTATGATTAGACAGATACATAAAAGAATTAAGGAACAACTGACAGTCTAAACATATTTCACAACGAAACACTCCCATAGTTTACATCATGAAATGATCTTAGATAAATGACTATTGGAAATCAACAAGCATTGGACAACTGTTTTGTTTTAATAGAGAATAATTGTATGTAGTACAATAAATCATTTGTATAATGAAATAACCGACTGCAGACAACAGTAACAATTCTATAATATCACTTTTCCTATATAAACAGTATACACAAATCAAATAAGTTAGAACAGAAGAAATAAAAAGATATTAAGTGAAAAACGCTTACTTTAAAACATTTTTTGGTAGTCGATCATGTGGTAACCAAATAGCCATTTGAGATCTGTAAAATGATTATTTACATTATTGTTTATAATATAGAAAAATCATAATTTCTTTAGCGACAAAATATGAATAATTTCAGTAGTGAGAATACTCGTAATTATTATTGGCTTACGTTCGAGAACATTAAGAGAGGTCAGTGACATATTAGTTCGAGAACACACTTCTCAATTTATAGGCTACCTGTTCGAATCTTACAACACATACTTTGGGTTGGGACAACAATTTACAGAAAAATTGTACTATTCAATGTCGATTGCATTAAACATGTACTCAATTGATAAATGTTTTTATTTTGTAAAGTTGTTCGATCCTACAATACTTCGTGTTTACTAATTCATATGCTCTTGTGGAGCAAGGTACATAGGTCATAGTCAGTACTTGTTTCTAAACTGTCCCGGTGTGATTCAACAAGAATGAAAGAGAAGCAGTTAGAAGTCCCATTTTTGAACATCTAGTCACTCCACTGACTGATCTTGAGGTTGTTTATACAATTCGCCCAAATCTACCTAGATTTATTAGTATCTAGCTCCTTAAAACAGTAGAAGCTCTTGCTATCCATGAGATGAAGCCAAAAGTGGGCATACAAAAAAGTATATCTTATCCTTAGCAAGGCCTTAAACTGCGATTACTACATCTCGCATTTGAAAATATCTCCTCTCTTCATAATTATTTTTCATATCCCCATGATTTAATTCGTAAATGTTCCTGACATCTCTTCATTTAATTTAACCCCTCTATTATCTTTAATCACGGTAACAAAAATGTTTTAATTATTCTACTACATTCACATTATAATTCGTTGCTAACTTATCAATTTTACAAGGATTTTTACTTGCACACACAATGTTTTTTGTTAATATTTACACTTTGTAATCTCGTATTATAGCTTTATTTTTACATCATGTTCGCTCTTTGTTCATATGTCTTGATGGAACTAATACTTTTAAAAATTTTCATATACACATATAATGGTACAGTAAGATAATAAATTCGTTGAAAAGAGATCCCTTAGCTGAACTTCATGTTTGTAATACTGATTAATAGTTAACAGTTCGCAGGCGGTCGGTTATATGAATCATAAAATCTGGCAAATATGTCAACCGTTTGAATTTCCACACTCCATTCTTGAGTGCTGTTAGAGGTATGGGTACAGATATCACTTCCTGGTTGCCCACACCGTGGAAGGGTTCTTCTGGAGGTACCTGAAAAGGAAATTGGATTAGAGGTGGTCTTAGTGACCTGAGAGCGTGATCGCAGTGCCCAAGGGACAACTGCTTGAGGTCGGTCACACACGACCTTTTGTGAGTAATTTTCGTTTTAGCTCAGTACTTGTTGAGACCTTACCTCCGGAGAAGGAAATCAGTAGGATAAGGCGAATTGTGCACTTTCAGGGTCGACCATTTCTAACTCCACTATTCCTTTGCGGGAAGGTACCATAGCTGCTATGCTGAATTTCTGAGGGCAACACCCTACTGCCGTCACACCACTGTACAATCAGCAGTACGACTTCGCCTACGGATCTTGAGTTTGCTGCTTTTAGTTTTACCATTCTTCGACCGACCTGTCCGGCATGGTAGGACTTTGAGGAACGATTGTTCCAGATAGTATAGTTCGATTGGTTCATCACGATAAGCAAGCCCGACCACCACGTTAAGGTAGCAGCAACGGTTGAGTCAAGCTTAATTAGCACAGCGACAAAAAGTGCACCCATCTGAAACATTTCTCTTACTGGTTACGATAATTGCGCAGATCCAAACCAAATAGCCTGAAGCTAAGTGATTCTGACCAACTCTTTGAGATTTCAAAGACTGATGACCCCAAAATACATGAAATTCAAAATCTAATATCTATTGCGGGTGCAATGCGGCAACTATGTTATGTCAAAGGTATGAAGCTGTCGGTTTTTAATGAGTCTAATGTTATCTTGAGTAATTCATTTACCAGTATATATTCACTATAATGAAATTTCAAATCAACCGAACATATTTCTCTATGATTGCGCTTAGAAGAAAACTACATAATACAGTGGACGCACTGCATAATTGTTAAATATTGTTAAACGATTCGGTTAGTTTAAGGTAGTCTTCTAATTAAGAACGACTGAGATTTTTTTAAATACGAAAGTAAATTAATGCAAATTCAATAACACGGCCACTGACACAACGCTTCAACAATTATCAGTACATGATGGAATTTAGGGAGAAGATAAGAGAGCAGAAAAGGCTTGATATTTAACTAAGATAAAATAGAAGTAGAATAATTTTCTACATATTTATCTCCTAATGAAAATCATAGGTTAACTAGTTTTCCTGAATGAATGTTGGGATCTTTTTTGCAATGAAAACCCTAAGTACAGTATTTCCAATTTGTATGTTTCCATGTCGTTTGCTGTTTTTAGATTAGCTTTTACCACTTTTAGTTTGCTAATTTCCTGTGTACCGAGGTCGTGTCACTATTACCACACACCCACAGAACTGTTCCATTTCAATTTATTCCTGTTAATATTAAATTTTCTTCTACGTTACTGCCTTCTTTCTGGGTACCACCATTAGAGATAATTATTGAAGTTCTTCTCTATCTTATAGAATTGGCAACCGATTCTATTCGCATTAGAATAATCTGGATCGTTTGCAATTAACAATTACCGTGGATTGGATAAAACAAAAAACACATGATACAACAACAGAAGAAGAACATAAACTTGGGGCACAAAGTAAATTAGCATACTAAAAATGACAACTAATCAGTCAGTCAGTCAGTCAGCTACAACGTAGGACCAGACACATTTATGCATCGGTTCAAGTTGCCATACCTCATTAACACAACAAGATGGACACCGGATTCATAAAAGTAGTTAATTCAGAGGTGGTAATATATAAAAGAAAGATTGCAATAAGGATATAGTACACGAAGAAAGAGTTAGTTCGCAGAAATAAAGATATGAAGCAATTTTAGTCTCTCAGTTTAAGGGAAGACAGAAAGTGTATACACCTACGCCATTGTGATCGATTCTGAGCCATGTCACCCAGAGTCTCCAACCATTGGTTACGACAGTCACGCGGTCCCCAACCATGTAGTCTGTATCTACCAAAATGACTCAGACCGAAAATTAATGACTTTATGGATTGATATCATGTTTTGGTTTGGCCGCCCCTAACTTTCTTCCAACCATCCCGAACACCGGTTAGCATTGCGCGTCGTGATCCCAGCAGACGCCAGCAATATTTCTAAGGCATCTGTGGTCAAATACTAGTAGCTTACGGGTGTCTTCTACTCTTAAAGGCCATGTTTCGCAGCCGTAAAGTAAAACAGAACGGAATGCTGCTCAGTATACTCGTCATTTTATTGGTAGACGGATATCTCGCCTTCGCCCCAGGTGACGTAAGTTGGCAAAAGCCAAACGAGCTTTTCGAATCCGTGCTGAGATTTCGTCAGACACCAACCCATTAGGGTTGATCAGATTTCTAAGATAAGTGAAGTTGTCAACGCGTTCGACTACTTCACTCCTTATCCTTAGTTCAGGTGTTGACGCAGACCAGTCCTGAAGCAACAACTTGCAATTAGAGGGAAAGAAGCCCATCCCAAACATTCTGACATTGTTGCTCAGTGCTACCAGAAGACTCTGCATTTTGTCAGCGTCTTCACCAAACAGGACTATGTCATCCGCGTATTCTAAGTCGATAAGTGGACCTTCTGGAAAGAGAACAACACCCGAGAATTCAGTCGACGAGAACGTTATTTCCGTCAGTAGGTCTACAACTAAGTCAAACAAAAATGGAGAAAGTGGACAGCCTTGACGGACACCATTTGAGGTTGCAAAAGCAGATGAAAGTTCGCCATAAGCTCTGACTCGACTGGTAGTGTTCGAGTAAAGAGCCTTCACAAGGTTTATGTACTTCTGAGGTACGCCTTTCAATGACAGACACTGCCACAGAATCTCGCGGTCTACCGAGTCAAATGCTGCTTTTAAGTCAAGAAAGACCACCATTGTCGGACGTCGATAAGTATGCCTGTGTTCTAGAACCTGACGAATGGTGAATATGTGGTCGATGCAGCCACGACCAGGTCTGAAGCCAGCTTGATTCTCTCGTGTTTGCAGTTCATGAGTCTTAGTTAGGTGTCCGATAATTATCGAGGCTAGTATTTTAGATATTATATTAGTTAAACTAATCCCTCTATGGTTGTCACAGGATGATTTTGACCCTTTCTTATATATTGGGACGATAAGTGATTGTGACCACTTAGATGGGATAACGTCTAACTCCCAGATCTTAGCTAAAATATTAGTCAACCTAATCGCTAAAATTGGACCACAATCCTTGAAGACCTCTGGAGCCAATCCATCTGGACCAGCTGCCCTTCCTCGTTTCAGATCAACTATAGCCTTTTGAGCTTCTGCTAGAGTTGGGGGACCTACTTCAATGTTCCATTCACACTGTCTGGGAATGGTGGGTAGTTGTAGAGTAGCTGAAGGCCAGCTGAACTGTTCTCTGAAATGTTCCGCCCATCGTTCTAAACGTCTGGACTGAGAGCAGATGAGTGTGTCGTCTTTTTCCGAAATAATCTCACTTACACTTGACTTATTAATTCCAGTTTCTTTTATTATTCTGTAGAGCTGTCTTGTGTTCCCTATAGCCGCCGCCTTTTCCATCTTTGCTTTCGCTGCCCACCATTGCTCACAGTCGTTCCTTAGACTTTTGCTTAACCTAGATCTGATGAAGAGAATGCAACATCACTTGCGTCTGTGGAGTGTAAATAAGAGTATTTGACCAAAATCCTTGTTTAATTAGCGGAGTAATACGAAAATAATGATATTGGGGAATATGTTTGCCAGAAAAACAGAGAATAAGTATAAAATGTCAACCAAACTAATGTTTAAGTTAGTGGAAAAAAACCAATGAAAACTATCGAAATAAAATGTACATTTATCTAAAATTGTACAAAATAAATTGCTAATCAGATTAGCATTTTAATTTAATATTTAAAATATTAACTTTGTAATAAAACACTAAGTATAAAATTACTTAATACGTTTTGAATAACTTTGCCAAAATGTAGCATGAACACGATCATGAAGCAAACGATCAGCTAACCCCATAACTGGCTTTAATTTTATTGTTTCAGTATTCACTGAAATTGTATCAGTAGGATTAAAATCTGCACTGTGTAAACGATGAGATGCAATATGACTTTGAAATGAACGAGAAAGTGGTGAACCGACAGGAAGTCCAGTACCTGACTAAATATTAACGCATATATATGTGCATTAATATTGAGTTAAGGACAAACAGATGAGAAATGTCGAAAACATTGTATCACAATGGTATTTTAAAGAATAAAAATAATAGGTAGAAGAAAAAACACTTATTGAATTTAGTTCGAAATAATTGACTGAACTATTTACTTTAAGAATGATGTCCACATTTCTCTTTTAAATGACGATTAAGTAAAAATTAGAAGTCATTTGAACATTAAAAAGAAGTCAAATAACTTTCAAAAAGATGTTCTGTAGGATTGTAAGGGATACCTACCTACTGGGAAAGAATTATCATAAAAGCAAAGACAATAATAATAATATTCGCTTTATTCAGTATTGTATAATTGATTATAGTGGAGAATTTTTAGCACAGAATATATAAAATTGCAAGAAAATGTTCGCTTTTTATAAGCATTTAACCAATGACTATGTATAACAGGTTTCCAAACAGTGACTAGTTGTCATTTGTATTCATAAGTTAATCATTCCAATAAGTCTTTGTTCAATGACATCACTTTTCATCGTCTAGTATATTTGATGCATAAATTATATAGTTACTGGTTCTCCTTTCTCCAAAAGGATACATGACGTACTTCTTCAGTTTCTCAGTAATTAAATTCGGGAAAGATTGAAAATATCTTATGCAACTGTGGAATAAGAAATGTCCCGCACTTAAAAGATAAAGATTGAACGCAAACTTTACCAATTACAGGCACTTAGTGTAAGCCAAAGAAAAATGACAACACCTTGATCGTCCTCAGTTGATCTGGATCAAAGTATATGTATAATAGTTATGTCTACATATCTAGTGTTTTGGAGATTTATTTCACAAAGAGTACAATAAAGAGAAAAATACTCATATAAGTTGGACGCTCCATATTTGTTAATTATCTCAACAGAGACAGTGGTACTATTAAAAGTTAAAATATCGTTCTATGAATGATTTTATCGCTCTACAAGTTATACAAATAATACACTTCAATTGAGGTCATTTAACGTCTATAATACTGCTTTTATCTTTTATTAACTTTCATTTATATTTTTACTCGTAATAATTCTCCACATCCAAAACTTCTTTCATTTTTACTCTGGATAAAGAAGCTTTTTCATTGTTATTTCATTACTTTTTTATTCTATTAAAATTTTGAATTTTTCTCAAGAATACAGTAAACAAACTTATATTACTATTTACCTCAATCAGACTCTATTAATACCTTATAGCTAATCTGCTGAGTAAGATCTATGGTTAATCATCGTCAACATCGAATCTGGAATAGATGTGCATCAGCACAAGTTGCCATACCACACCAACATAGAGAGATAAAATTAACAAGTACAACAAAACAGATCGGTAACATTTAGTAACGTTATAATAAATAAACTAAAGAGAATTAAAAAATAAATCTTGGAGTCTCTTACAATATAATCAATTCATTTCATTCGTAACAAATACCTAGCATATGGATTTTAAAACAAAAGTAAAAAACAAGTAGTACAAAATGTGTTAAAATATCTCTTTTGCAAACCTGAAACATTGTTTAAGGTCGGTATTTAGATATGAATATAAGGATAATATTAACACAGTAAAGAAAAAATATGAGAATTACCTCATGAGGAAGATGTTTAAACCAACATGTCGGTATAACAGGATTTACAGTATCGACTGCATATCGGACGGTATTACGCCGTCGATATTTTGAAGAATAGTTCGAAGAATTGTGATCAAAACGATTGGAGTTTAACCAGAAAGCTGAACCTTGAGCCTTTATTGTCAAAGAATAATAATACTGATACTAATACTGCTAATAATACTAATAATAATAAGAGATAAATATGGTGATACGTCTTTCTTAGCAATGTTTTGTGCATCAAGAACTGTATAACTGGATTTTAATATTTCGTAAATTTATTTTATGGACAGCTAGTTATAACTTATAAATCAAAAGCCTAGAAAGTAGATAATGATAAGTAATCTTTTTTAAAGAAACTTGAAATAAATGTATTTTGTAATGAGACTCACACAAACGCAAGTTTATATATTCATAGGTCGTATGGAGACGAGTGATAACAACCGGTTACTAAACACAGAGTTTAGAACTTGAAAACTACTGGTTAAAAGTTATGCGCTCTAACCAAGAAGCTATCATAATATTCCTTACAAACATTAACTTTTGTATTACAATGGTTTAATCGGGAAATGTACAAAATGAAATCCTGTCACAGAAACTGCCAAATGGGAAATTTAACTGGCTTAATAGACAAATATAATCAGTAAGATGAGATATTACCGTGAGAGGTTGTTTTACAATACTCCCAAGTCCTTTGATTTAATCTTCTGAATTGAGAGTAAATAATAGTCCCGTCTTTTTCCGAAATAGTTTCACTAGCAGCCGTATTTCTAATGGTCATTTCCTTGATAAGTCTGAACAGTTGCCTACTGTTACCTATCGCTGCTGCTATCGCTACCCTCCACTGCTTACGATCATTATGTAGGCTTTTGATCGATCTACATATAACCTGCCTCCACTCGTTGTGTTCTGAGCCAGACGAGATGGGTATCCGAGCATCTATTAGTTCAATAGATGGGGCTAAAATCTAATTTTCACTAACATTTTAGTTTAAGTTACTAGTATATGTAGTATCGATTGCTATGTTCAGCCCACATAGCTTATTATAGCTTCCGAACAGGCTAATTTATTTATTCTTCTTGAGTCACACTTTGACCTTGTTAAATATTCGCTTATCAGCTTTGACTGTTTTTATATGAGCATATGTGTGTGTATTTTTTATCCCACTAATCAAATGTCTGTAACTTATTTTGTGTGACTATGGGTATCGATTAACGCTTGGTTAAATCGAGTTGGCTCACACGCCTCCTCCACCACGCGTCATTTCGCTTCGCTCTCGTCACTTCGCTTTCCTCGATTCGTTTCTCCTATCGTTTGTCTGAATCAATGATTGTATGAAATATACGTATTCGAAATCCATTCTCGTGTTTGACTTATTTAACTCCGTTATTCACTAACGTGAGTTAAGTCGATGATTTTGAGATGGTGGAGAAGATTCGTAGCTCAGGTGGATGATTTTGGTGGAGTTTTGTTCTCTGAGCTGGATGGTTTGGTCGTGGAGCTTTCATCGTTCTTCTGAACGACATCATCAGCACAAACTTCAGATAGAAGTGAAGTGTTTGAATTTCTCCATATGTGTCTCAAAGCTTGTTCTGTGCACCTCGACGTTGATTGGTTCTTATTGACCTTAAATTTGTCGTTGTTTACTTCTTTGTTTTGGTTGTGTCTCCCATTGTTTTGATTTTTGTTCTTATGTTTGTGCATGATTTTTCTGATTGGTTGATAAATTGGATTGATTTCAATATGCTTGTTGATTGCTGATTGACCTGAGTGCCAAGCTTCTAAAAATTCTCTGGTGTTTTTGGAGTTTCCTCTGTCTAAGATTTCCACATTTTTCCAGTCGAATGAGTGTCCGCAGTTGTCCACGTGTATTGAGATAAGTGAAGAGATATCATGCCGTTTGACTGCTAATTGATGTTCATGTAGGCGAAGGTGAAGGGGGCGTCCACTTTGTCCGATATAGTGTTTTTCGCAGTTGGCACAATTTATCTTGTAGATGATGTTTGATTTGTTTTCCTTTGTTATTTCATCTTTTGGTTTGCATAAGATTGATTGTAGTGATTTTGTCGGTTTGTGTGCCACACCTATTCCGAAGGTTTTCAGCAGTCTCGTCGCGGTTTCTGATATTCCTTGTATATATGGTAGGGTGATCCTTTTGTTGATTTTTGTGCTTGGCTTGAGTTATACGAGGATAATCAGGATGTATACTTTGACAACAATCATTCATACGATCTACCTGGATTCAGATATTTGAAGGCCACTACATAGATATCACGGTTGTTTTCATAGCTTTTTGGATTATTTACTCACTACTTACGCCTGTTACCCCTCCTGGAGGGGCATATGCCGCTCACGAGCACTCTCCATCCAACCCTGTCCTGAGCAATCCTCTCCAGTTTCTATTCATCCTGTTCATATCTGCTTCCGATTCTCGACACAGTGTGTTCTTTGACCTTCCCTCTTTTCCATTTCCCTTCATGATTCCAAGTTAGGGATTGCCTCGTGATGCGGTTTGGTGATTTCCGTAATGTATATCATATCCACTTCCAACATCTTTTCCTAATTTCATCTTCAGCTGCAAGCTGGTTTGTCCTCCCACACAGTACGCTGTTGCTGATGGTATCTGGTCAACGGATATTGAGTATCTTACGTAGACAACTGCTTACAAATACTTGTACCTTTTTGATGATGGTTATAGTAGTTCTCCATGTTTTGACTCCGTACAGTAGAACTGACTGTTTTGACGTTCGCATTGAAGATTCTCACTTTGACATTGGTTGACAGTTGCTTTGAGTTACATATGTTCTTCAAACTAATCTGTCTATGGTTATCGCAGGATGATTTTGACCCCTTCTTATATATTGGGACAATCAGTGATCGCGACCAATCGGATACGATTACATCCAACTCCCAGATTTTAGCTAAAATATTAGTCAACCTAATCGCTAAGACTGGACCACCATGCTTAAAGATATCTGGACCAGCTGCTCTTCTTCATTTCATATTAACTATAGCTGCTTGAACTTCAATTAGATTCCAGGGACCTACTTCAATGTTCCATTAAGGTTGTTTAGAAATGGTGGGTAGTTGTAGAGTAGCTGAAGACCAGATGAACTGCTGTTTAGTGTTTCGCCCATCGTTCTAAACGTTTGGGCTGAGAGCAGGTAAGAGTATCGTCTTTATCCGAAATTGTCTCACGCTCGACTTTTTAATTCCGGTTTCTTCTATTAGTCTGACATGCTGACTTGTGTTCCCTACAGCCATCGCCTTTTCTATCTCTTTTGCTTTCGTGGCCCACCACTGCTCACGGTCGTTCCTTAGACTTTTGGTTAACCTAGATCTGATTTGTTTTCGCTCTTCATCGTGTCCAGAGTGTGATGGGATAAATTTTTTGAGAGTCTATGAATCCACTGGTTTTTCGCGAACCTTTGGTTCAAATCACTAGTAGATGTCGCTACTGTTTCCACATCTGTTCATATATCTATCCAATCAACATCTGGATCAGCCATGTTTTGAGAACTAACAAAGTATGACTTCAGTTGTTCCTGGAATTTACCTTAAGCTTTCTCGTCGCTGAGTTCAGTGAGATGCAAACATATAGGTGCTCGTATTAGAGCATAATCAGAGTCTAAACATGTACTCCAGAACGAGGGGCAGTTTACTATCGAGCTTCTCCAATTTTGAATGATGGCAATATGGTCTATTTGAGTCCATCCTTGGTTTGGTGCAGGGCGTTGTCATGTTAGACAATGTCTCTCCTCATGCTCATATTTAGCGTTTGTTGAAAATGAACGACGGTCTTAGGCGAGAAAACGAGAAATTCAAATTTCCCAAATACGACGTTTACCAAGTGAGTTGTGGAGCTCTAGTATCTCACAGAGACACAGCATAAATCAATGGTACGAGATTCTAGGGTTCTAGCCAGAGAAGTCTGTTGACCGATTTGACATAGGGTGCGTACTTCGAAGGCTCCAATCTGTAGTTTAGAGTGAGGTTTCAGTAGACCTGAGACAGTATATGGCGCACTAGAATCCCTGGCAATGATGACACTTGAGGAGGAAGCCAAAAGAGGAAGTTTAGAGTTGAAAGTCGAGGTAGAAGCAATAATAGAAATCGAAGAGGGAAATTGATTATGGATACGGTGGTCTTGAATGCTGTTAGAGATATGAAGGCCGTTATCACTTCCGGGTTACACACAGTGGAAGGGTTTTTCTACAGGTACCTGAAGATGAGATTGGTCTTAGTGACCTGAGAGCGAGACCACAATGTCCAGTGGACCGGTGCTTGAGAACAGTTACACACGACGTTTTCGTGGGTAATTTTTGTGTTAGCTCCGTACTTGTTAAAACCGCCTGAGACAGAAATCCGTGGGATAAAGTGAAGCGTGCACTTTTAGGGTCGACGTTTTATAGCCCCACCATTCCTTTGTGGGAAGGCAGCGTAGCCGTTATGCTGCTTTTTCTTCAACCGAACGATTGTTTCAGCCAGTATAGCTCTATTGGTTCATAAACAATAGGCAAGTCCGACCATCACGTCAAGGTAGCAGCAACCGTGGAGTCTAAAGCCAACTCGTAATTGACAGTAGTATTTACAAAAAAGTGACTGCTTGATATTGAATGTTATCTTTACTTAGTCAAACAAGTACTACACAAATCATAATCTCATCATTTATGTATGTAAATGAAGCAATACTACATACATGCACATTGCACTACATAAATCTCAATAGTATTTCTAATCTAAACAGCCGTATAATGCTTCAGTTATCCCTTACTGTGATGTATTTTAAAAAGATTATTTAACACGACAATAGAAAATTTTACATATGTATAGTTCTTACGTAATTTAGTTCTAAATGCAAGTTGTTGCTTCAGGACTGGTCTGCGTCAACACCTAAACTGAGGATAGGGAGTGAAGTAGTCGAACGTGTTGGCAACTTCACTTATCTTCGAAGTCTGATCAGCCCTAATGGGTTGGTGTCTGACGAAATCTCAGCACGGATTCGAAAAGCTCGTTTGGCTTTTACAAACTTACGTCACCTGGGGAGAAGGCGAGATATCCGTCTATCAATAAAAGGACGAGTATACTGCGCGGCATTCCGTTCTGTTTTACTTTACGGCTGCGAAACATGGCCTTTAAGAGTAGAAGACACCCGTAAGCTACTAGTATTTGACCACAGATGCCTTAGAAATATTGCTGGCGTCTGCTGGGATCACGACGCGCAATGCTAACCGGTGTTCGGGATGGTTGGAAGAAAGTTAGGGGCGGCCAAACCAAAACATGATATCAATCCATAAAGTCATTAATTTTCGGTCTGAGTCATTTTGGTAGATACAGACTACATGGTTGGGGACCGCGTGACTGTCGTAACCAATGGTTGGAGACTCTGGGTGACATGGCTCAGAATCGATCACAATGGCGTAGGTGTATACACTTTCTGTCTTCCCTTAAACTGAGAGACTAAAATTGCTTCATATCTTTATTTCTGCGAACTAACTCTTTCTTCGTGTACTATATCCTTATTGCAATCTTTCTTTTATATATTACCACCTCTGAATTAACTACTTTTATGAATCCGGTGTCCATCTTGTTGTGTTAATGAGGTATGGCAACTTGAACCGATGCATAAATGTGTCTGGTCCTACGTTGTAGCTGACTGACTGACTGACTACGTAATTTAGTATTGAAATTAAGCAACCAAATTATCTCTGAAAAGCTACTCCGTCGCCCATGATATAAGTGATAAGAATTAAAATGACAATTTATTTACTACCACTATTGGACAAATTTTTCAAAATGGGAAAAATGACAAACACCAGAATGATAAAATATTTTGTTTTACATAAATGTAAAGAATAAATTACCTGTAATTCACCCACTTTCTCATAAATCAATTCATTGTGATTCTAGAGGGGAAAACAAATCAACTTATAATGGATTATAAATTGTGTTTTGATACAGAAAAAAACACAAAAATCTGTCTGATAGTTATTGGGTTTAAATTGGAAAGTTTGGTAAGTGCAAAAGAAAATAAAAACTAGCAATATGTATATAAATGTTCATGTGAAGTTGTTATATACATAAATTGGTTAGAACTTATGAAATGGAAAAAAAAGACATTAGTGCTTTTTGACAAATTGAAGGTTATGTGAGTAAGGTGACTGGGTTGTATTCAACGATACTTAATTCATAAATATATCATTGGTTCCAATGACATTACTACATTAAACAATATATCAAACAAATTATTCCATATGATGGGATGACGATACAGAACCAAGAGTACATGTGTAGTTAGTAGCAACTGTTAGACAGTATAGCTGTCAATTCATATAGACAACATTGTAATTCGAAACCCTTGCTTTAGTTCTGTGAACATCTACTCACCTATAATTAAAGTTTTAAAGAATGATATTTATTTTAAACCTTTTCAATAAATAATGATGCACTTCATGAATGCTCTTCAAACATGAGTCTTAAGACCATGGCTGATGAATTTAATTGTATGAAGAGATAAACTAATTCTTTCGATAGGTTCGATGAATCAATCGACATTAAACACTCAACGACAATACAGAAAACATAATCGGAATTCTTAAACATTTTTAACAGTGAGGCAGATAAGATGAGTAAGAACAGAAAATCAGTAATCTCAGAGACAATCAACCCGATTAATAAGGTGTGAAAAACAACTGGTTGATCATGTCAAAATTTCACCTAGATCACATCGGGAATAGTGTGTTCTTGGTTTTCTCGTGCGAACAAGGCACATACACTAACACAACTGCTTCCCCTTCATGTCCATACATTCATTGTATAATACGAGAATTAACAACACTAAATGAATCGGAATTATGTTTTAAGTAAATCAATTACATTATTGTTTATTTTCTGTAATTTGGAATCCATTTGAAATCGTTTTTGTTCACCTAATTTACGTATAGTACTTATTGTAGACGCCAGTCGTTGACGTTCCTCCTTTTCCAACGGCATAACTTCAATGCTACGTTTTAATTCATCTAACAAATTAGCATCACGAATATCTGGTTTTATACGATGAGAATAAGCAACTGCTAAACTATCTGAAAAGTTATCACTTGACGATGTAGATTCGTTTAATTGAAAATCTGCTAACAGACGACGTTTTACATCAGCTAACCAATAATTTAAATAAGCTCTATACAAAAGGGAAAATGAAAGAAATATAACATAATTTAGATAGTCAGATATAGATATTCTTCTTTTCTTGACTCTAAATGTTAAACAATTGTAACAAGATATGATTGAAGTACATAGCTTTCAATTAATATGTTTCAGACATATAAACCCAATTCAATCGACATTAGTTCACCCAGTAAGATAGTTTCACTACCTATTACAGATGGGTACATAAACTGGTACTTAGTGAATCTATTACGAATCTTTTCACATACTGTACATTGAGACATAATGAATATTTTGTTTTTCGGAGATCAGATATATTTCAATTCACTAACTGATTAAATGATTGACTACCGAAACAACCAAAACTAAACATTTTACCAAAAACTTAAATTTATTATTGATTAGGCTTATCAAACTGATAATACCCTATTTTTGTGTAACTCATCGACCGAATTAAGGACACGAATTCATTGAAAAGTAGTGACTGATTTACGAACATGTTCTATTTATTTTGATCAACAATTTGAAAAGAAATGCTTGCATTAACCAACAACGTTAACGACTCTCTCTGAGATAATCAGTCACAAATGAATTTGAAATAATTCTTTTAAAAAAAGACTAATTTAATCAAACTTTATACCCTAATTTTATCAGCAAGTTAAAAAATATTTTGTTCTCGTCTCTCACAGCAAGGCCGTTTAGCCACGATTCGGACTCACACATAACTAGCCTAAAGGTAGAACTAGTTAGCCTATCGTATCAAGGTCGAGGCAGGTTCTCTCTTGTGTATTATTGATCAGACTGATCAAGGATGTAACACTTACCCATAGGGAAAGTCGAGCGTTTCATCACCAGCAGCTGTTGATTTGACAACAGATATAATTGGACGAATTAATGAATCGTAATGACACACAACATTCGAGTTTGTAGAACATTTTTCTGCATCATTAGAATCAATACATTCTGTATTTTCTGTATTTTTAAATGATTCAATGTAATATCGTGGATCACCGTAGGGTTGTGGAATACGTCCAGGTATGAGAACACCCCATTTGAGCACCTAATATACACATAACAAAAAGATGAAATTTTATAAAAATTACAGATCGATAAAACACTATTTTTAACCGCTGAGGTAATCCAAAAAAATCTTTTCCTCAGCCTTTAGAAACTCAGAAAATGCAAAGAATTGTTTTATCCAAATAGCATTGAACAGAAGCTTCTTAGAAATACCTAGCAAAATGAGGGATCATGTGCCATATTTTAGATTGGATAAGTACATGCATCGTTACTATAGTTAGTGTGTTTCCAAAAAGTCCTAGTAGACGAAGGTTAAATCTAACTCTATAAATACTCTTGATTTTCTGTACATAAACTAACCTTGCGATAAAGCTTTTACTTATATTTCGCCCCTTTTCTCTATTGCTTAAGTAGTCTGGGGTTATAGGAAGCAGCTAGGAACGTATTAATAAGCGTTTCAGTAGCAGATATATTAATAGCCACAAGAGATGATTATGAGATTTGTGCATTTTAATCGTATAAAATATAAATAATCAGTTTTTATCGTACAAATTTCTTTAGTCTATTGTAAACTAACCAATCTATTATTAGTTTATACGATGTTGTTTTACCTGTCTGGCCATATTGAAATAGTCATTTCTATCTTTACTGTGCTGAGTTGGCTGATACTACTGAGTATATCACTTTGAATGTTTTATAACTTAACCTAGTCATTTATTGTGGAATTATTTATTATTTATATATGATCGTATAAAAGTAATTCGAGAAGCCAAGAAAGTATCCATAATTTAGTTGGACTCAAGTACGTTATTCCAGAGAATCTAACAATGAATTTAGGCTGTCAAGAAAAAATTGATGAAATGTTGTCAAAAAAGTAAGTAACATCGGTGTATACCATGAATCTTTTTTCGTAAGTTAAACATAACAAAACTTATATCAAAGTGGTTGATGTAATAAAATTGAAACAAACCGTAGAAACGATAACAACTTTTTAATTCAAAACAAAACAAAACCTCCATTTTAAAATAGATGTATTTTGAGAATAAAATCTATGTATCGGATATTACTGAAAGGAACAAAAACATGAAGATGACTTTTATTGTAATATATGACAAAGTGTTGGTTAGTAAACTTTTATTGATAAGTTGCACATATATCTCAGTCGCGGTCAGAATAGCTTAGTGGTAACGTCTCTGGTCGTGAAACTCGGTGACATGGTGTTGGGGAGATCCAAAAAACTCGAAAAAAGCCAAAAAAGGTTCTGAAAAACATTGAAAAGCCTCTTATTCTATCAGTATTCACTGGACGTTTTGCCAGAGACATCTAGAAAGTGGACAGTCACATGTCGAGTTTCTGAATGGATGGTTATCTATGCCGCTACTATGTTTAGTAGCATTCCAGAAATTTCGGGAAGCCCAGGGCCATCTAAAGTACTATAAAAACCCTAGATTTTCTGTACTTAAACGAACCTTTGGAGTAGCGTTTCTTCCATATCTCGCGCCTTTTCTCTCGTGTTCAAGTTGCTGTGTAGATCTAGCCTGAGGGTTACTAGAAGAGCTTAGGAACCAAATCTAGCGTTCAATTAGAAGACTTATCACATGGGATTGAGTTCGCCAGGTACACCTTGCTGACAAGCGTCAAATAGCGCTAAAACTAGGTGCAGGGTTTCGTATCAACTATCGCTTTAGAATTAACCTTGTATCGATTAATATGGTGAATAAGAGGTTGTGGATGCTTATAACATATTGTAACAGATTTGTAGCAAATGAAATAAAATACAAATCGAATTAACTAAATAGCTTCTTACTGTTGCAGTCATTGGTGTTTTATAGACCAGGTTATCAAAAAAAGGAAGACAAACTGTGTATAAAATAATCACTTACTCGATCATAATGCAACGGCAGACCTTGCCAACAGAGTTTTAATAGTTTTGGAGCAATACGCATTTGAGCAGTCAATAAAGCTGGTCCAGCGTCTAAATTATCTTTAACTGGTTTTGGAATTAAATCTCTATACCATCTAAATAATTAAATAATTTAGTTATGCAGTTTATTTTTTTTAGAAATTTACGACTGTGTTAAATAAACTCTTATAGAAAACGTAAAACTATGAACTCATCTGACATATTTTGCTTTATTTGTCAACACTAGTTTAGTAAACGAAAACACCAGTGGGGACAATCCAATGTATTTAAATTCACCATTACAGAATATCTTGGGAAAATCTCGGAACCATATAGTAAATACTTTATTTGCAAAATAACCATCAATTGTCTCATACTTTGTTGTTCCTTCGTTTCTATATCACTCTCTGTTCTCCTTTTCATATCTTCGATTTTCTCAACCTTCTGCTACCAGGCATTCCACTCTCGATTGGTGATGCATGCTGATCATATCTGTCGACATCAGTAGCATACACCACATTAAGACTGAATGGAAAAATTGGACATGTGGTTAGTTTACGACATAGTGCTGAGGTATGAAAGAAAGCTGTATAGGGCTGAAACCTGTTGGTTCATTAGAACTCTTTGGTTGGCGTCCTACAGATGATGCAAACAGCGCAGACCAGAAACCGATCGCAATCATGTTAGAGTATGGGAAAATAGACACCCTTTCAAATAGCTTTGTACCAGTTGGACAAGTTACTAACTGGATTGTGCCACTTGGTGTATAGCATGTTGATATATTGATTGATAAGCACTGGATTCAAGTCTGAGTGTGAAAATTAACACAAGTATACAGGTATATTCAGCTGAAAAGATACTAATAGGACGAGAGAACGTCGTGGGTTCCATTACTTGCTAAAATCCCCAAACTAATAATAAATCCTTGTAGAAAACTGTTGATGATCACTAAAATAAAGCGTAATGTAAAAATATTACTCACTTAGGAAGACGAGACACCTTTTCATCAACTTCAGTCTTCTGTAATGAAAAGAAACATATTAAACAAACATTTAAAATTATCACTAAACTCTGTATGTGTGAGTAAAATTCGTAGTGATAACTACTGCATGAAATCCATGTTTTACAAAAGAAAAAAGCAAATCATACCAATCTCAAAACATTTACACACAAGATATCCAAATGTCAGCAGACAAATACGATAAAGATAAAACGCAAGAAACTAAAGAGTAGTACTACCGGATAGTATTATTTTGAAGTAAACTTTATACAACAAACGGGTACATAGACAGATGAGTTTAGGTGTAAATGAACTTTGATAATCCACCGAAATCATAATAACAATCAAAAACATTTGCTTCTATAAGAAAAGTAAAATGAGATAAAGTCAATGCAAACATACCTTACAACTTGTGGTTTGATTATTATTATTATTATTATTGACTTAATTGAAGGAAGAAGAGAACTCATCATCATTAAATTCTATGCTACAGTTTAACTAACAGATTCAACTTTAATGAAATAAACAACTAATGTTTCACTGAAATACAAGTTGAAGGTTGAATAACTTGGAAAGTTTTAGATACACGATAAAATGAACTTAAAACTATTTAATACATCTTTCCATAACCTTAATATTTCAGCACAGAAATATTTATGCTAAAGAAATCACTTAGAGTTGAATAAACAATGCAGAACTTGAAACATGCGCTAGTCCTAGTTACAACACTGCATCAAACTAACGAAGGAAAAAAATAATACAATGAGAACTAAATGAGTAGAAATAGCAGCAGTATCATCGATTGTAAAATCAGAAGTTTATATATATATATATATATATATATATATATATATATATATATATATAATTCTTGGTATTTACGATACTGTTCAATATCCAGTGTCACATTTCCGAACACAACAAATTATATAAAAAGTTATTTATTTTAGTATGTATAGGCTGCTATTTATTTGATGTAGAAAAATTGGCTTCAAACCATATTACCAACCTGAACATTATGACTCTTCACTGATGCTTTTTTAAAGGTAACTACACAAAATCATCATGATGATGAAAAGATAACTAGGAAATTGGTTTTCAGAGAACGTTTTTGTGACCAAGTTATTTCACTATCAACAATAGAAACAAACAAGAAATGGATTAATTAAACAATGAGTAAACTAACACATTTGACTTTGGGTCTAGACCAATCCAAATCCCACAACCATGGATCATTTTTATACCTTGAATTAAAAATTGGAATCACACAAATTATCATTATTGCTATTAAAATATTAAATATAAAAGGAAAATTATACAACTCAACTAGATTATAAAAGTACTCTATATGATATATATATATATATATATATATATCATCTGGATATTTAATCAGTCGTGCTGAAATCAACTAATCGTCACTGGATAATTGACAAATAATCAGTCTTGGCAATTATATTTCTTCCAAGAGGATATTTATGAAGAGCGATCACACGTGAAGTGAGATCATGAGTTTGTCAGAAACATTAAGGTTATCAAGTTTTTTTACAAATCCAAAGCTATCTTTCAAACTGTAGGTTGATAGTTTCTTGCGGATTTGTTCTAAGCATCTAGTCAGCCAGCGGGCAAGTTTATGAAAGGGTGATTTGGTCATAGATAATATTGGTCTTATTGGGATGTCGGGTTTATGTGTTTTGGGTAGACCATATAAGTATGGTAATTGTGATCCTTTTGGTTTGAGTTCGTTATATGTATGATAATCTATCCCCTTGGAAGAAACGGCAGAGATCATATGTGAATATCCGGAATTCCTGCCTTTACCAATCCATGAATTTAAACAGCTCCTGTTTTTGTGCACAAAAAACATACAATTTAAATTCAACAATGTTCTGTACCGCCAGATTGATGGAGTAGCAATGGGCAGCCCTTTGGGCCCAATTCTGGCCGACATATTTATGGGACACCTTGAAGAAAAGAAACTTAAGCACGCAATCGATAGTACCACACTCTATTGTAGATATATTGATGACACGTTCCTTGTCTGCGACAATCACAAACACTCCACCAACTTACTCAGTCTATTTAATAAAGCACACAAAGATATAGAATTTACTATAGAACATGACGTTGACGATAAATTCCATTTCCTAGATATTGGAATTAGACAAACATCAGATGGTACATTACAAAGACACATTCATCGTCAAAATACCTGGAGTGGAGTTTATCTCAATTATAAAAGCTTCTGTCCTATGAGTTATAAAAAGGGTATTGTACAAAACCAATTGACCGCGCACGCAAAATCTGCTCAAAGGAATGCCTTGAAGAAGTTGCCATAATCACCAACTGCCTACGTGAAAACGCATATCCGCATAAATTCATCCACAAATATGCAAATACCAACCCTCCAGTTAAGCATGATATAGTGGAAAAGAAAAACTGCTTCCTATACTTGCGCTTCAAAGGAGATCAAGTCACCGGATTAATCAATCACAGAATAAATTCCGGGCATACCATCAATATTCCGCACGCTTTTAAAATTATCGGTAGACAAAAAAGTACGATTGCTTTCCGTTTTGCCGAAGCGATCGCGATTAGAAAACTTAAACCGGATTTATGTATTCAGAAAGTGACAGTAGTTACTTAATTATTACCCTGGTAATTCATTTTATTTTTTTTTTTATTTTATATGTTGGTTATTTGCGTAATCTTAATTACTTTTTAAAAATTTATTCTGTGTTATATTCCCCTCCTCCCCCACTAGCGAACTCGTAAACCAACTTCTCATTCACACATTTCCGCCCACTTACCCTCCTAAATTTTGTTAGCTTTTCAAATTCCATTCAATTATTACGTAACCTATCTTATCACTGCTTAATTCCATGAATCTTTCGCTACCTCTAAAATTATCATACAATGTATAACTCCACTAGGCCATTACACCACCCATCCTTAATTGTTTTCTTAATTCTAACACCAATCAACCTCTGACCTGTTCTTGCATATATATATATATATATATATATATATAGTTATTATTGTAAACCTTTGTCATTCCAGTTATTTACATTCATTTATGTCAATTGTTTCACACTATCTCAATGTAAAAATTCTATCATATATTTGGTTGTAAGCAGCTGATGAGAAACCTCGAAATATCATGAATTCATACTATTCTGCACCAGTTCAAACTCTGCCTTCCTTGTCAATGTTTGTTAGGGATGCAGAGGAATATACCAATAATTATCATGTTAAGTCTAATGGTGACCTTGGACTTGAAATGTACACTCCCTATTGGTCGATATTTATTTACTTGTTAAATATTGTGTAAATGTTGTTTCATATTTTATGGTACGATGTGGTTTGTTTGTTTGGTATATAGAGTATGTCTGAAATATAATGATTCATATCTCTGAGGCTGTGATTTGTGTTCTGGGTTCAACTGGCTGGGTTAGGTAGCGAAGCAGGGCCAATCGGGACTCTAGGTCGTCCGTACGTGTCACTGAATCGACCGATAAATACGCTGCGTATCTAACCGTGCAATCCACACGTTACAACAATGTTTAAACAGCTAGATTATATCGTATAAAGTATCAAAAGTTATTATTTATAATAATAATAATAATAATAATAATAATAATAATAATAATAATAATAATAATAATAATAATAATAGCTTACTCTTGATTATTAGAATATTTAGCCAATGCTTGATCAGCTAATTGCATCAATAATTTTTTTTGTCTTAATATATTTTCCGTATATGATGATTCTGCTTTTTCTTGAAATTTAATCCAATTATCATTAATTGGTAAATACATGCTACTCATTTCTAGTAATCCACAAAATGTTGCGGGATGTGGAAATCTACAAAAGGAAGAGGAAGAGCAATAGTGGAAGTGGGAGAGAGAAAAAACTTTATCTGCACCATATAATGGGATGAGCTAATATAAACAGTGATGGTCAAGACGTTAATAAGTCACAAACTATTACTAGGTACAACACAAGTAATAACAGTTAAAGAACAAAAAAAAGAACACCCTGATAAATTTGTACCAGATATTATTTAATAGTGTTGAGTAGATTTTTTCACTCTGGTGATAATTTTCGTTAAGGATGTGACATGAATAAAAGTACGAAAAAGCAGCAAATAACATGGGTAGTTGTTCTTCTATTAGTTTAACGAATCTTTAACAGACAGCGACCACAAAATCACAATACTAGATAGAAATTTAAACTTGAAAGGCATCATGAAAGGGTTTAAATCTTTTAATTAATTGATTTAAAATTTAATAGATCCCGTCGCTAATTTCACTCAACTTGCGATGCAACATTTGATGATTAATATTCAATGGCATAAGTGATAATGCTTTTAGGCATGACATATATCACCAATCATGATTACTTCGGTATTCACCAAAATGACTAATACAGGAAAGAGTTTACGTACCTACATATCATATCAATATGATATGTATACATCTATAATGAAGCCTGCTGAATTTCGACATAATTAAAAAGAATGAATACAATTAAAAACTAGCCATTCAAAATTTAGCAGTACCACGAATAACCTGTCATCAGTCCATGAAATCAATGAAAACTGAACTTGGCCATGTGAATATGCGTAGACTACCTGATTGGGGTCCGCGTGATTATCATAACCAAAAGTTAAAGACTTTGAATGAGATGGCTCAAAATCAATTGCAATGGCGCAGGTGTATCCTATCCTTATCTTCCCAAGTTCTGAAATTCTCAGTTCCTTATAACCTCATTCTTTGATTTTATTTCAGTAATTTATATTCTCGAAATGTTTCTTTGATGCCGAATCTTTCTCAACGCCACTGCTAATGTTACTACTTCTAATATTCTAGAGCTTGGCCTAGCAACTGCATTTCTCTGAGCTAATGGGGAAGAGAAACTTGAATTGATTTACATACATACAGATTCTACGTTGTAACTGACTAACAAATATAGATACCAGATTCGTTGCAATTATGAAAAAAAGTATTTTATTACAACAACGAAAGATAGACACAAATTTATTTGAAGGCTTCATTGTGCAAGCAGCACTTTTTAGCAGGAATACAATTCATTATTTAATTTTATATATATATATATATATGATGCTAACATTATATATACTCAGACGGGTTAACTAGCTTACCTTTCTTTAAATATAGGCCACAGAATTTGTATTATTTCATACGTCATCAGTACATCCACGGCACAGTATTTGAACAATTCCTAAGTGAAATAAATACTTATTTAAAAATCTGTAGATAATGTCAACTCCAAAAACGATAAAATAAGAGACCCTATGGTTGGTGCGTCACTTTCATTCAGTGAACATAGTCTGCATAAACTAAAAGTATCTCACAACAAAAGTAATAAGACGTTAATTTGGTGTGCTTTACTTCAAGAACTTTATGCATTTTTCAAAAAATATTATCCACTTTCCAATCCCAATATTGGAAAGGATTCACTACATTATCTCATTAAACTGAACGTGAATATATTCACAAAAGAGGTTTCTTATCAAAAATAAGTAAACACATTCACAGAAAATTCGTTATCACCCACAAAATCATCGTTAACAAATGCCCTGTGGCAACAAACAAACCGAGTTATAACACCAAAATATAAGGAAGTCATCAGTGAAAATCATCGTTTATCTCAGTCAGCATCCGTACTTCATCAGTTAGCCTATTATGCAGTGAAATACTAATAGCTTGATTTCCTTCAAAGTTTATTACGAAAAAAGGAGATTGAGACAACAACTCATTCATTTACCTGTCACGTACAATCTGCACAGAACAAAATAGGCATTTAATACGCTCAACACTGTCGTTCACACTATATCATAACAAAGAAAATCTTTACAAAGAATTCTAAACGACTGCGTAAAACATCAAAAGCTATTTTGCCGATTCTCATTATCTTGTCTCCATATTACAGACACCCCGTACAAAAATAGTGTTATAAAACGAAGCAAACAAACAAAACGGAACTGAGTAGACTAAGAGCAGTGTGGTGGTGAGAACTACAAGGATGGCCAACCTGAGTATCATCTTTGTTTAGTACATAGGCTGAAACAAAGCGGAATACATACACAACTGCTTTGGTATAACTCACCAATTACAGATTCCTGTACTCGGCTTACAGAGACACACCTCACATGTGTGTAAGAGTCTGTGATACTACCGAACTGCACGAACTAAAACAAGTGGATCAGGACTCGGACTGCATTGGAACTACAACAGGGTGGACTGCGTACATACAGCATATAAACCTCTCTGAACCAAGCACACAACAATCAAGTCGTGTACTATCCCATTCCTGTTGGCTGACCAAACAACCCAGATATAAGAACACGATTGAAACATTACAAAAACTGGGTACTCCAACACGGTTAATCACAGATGAAAGATTTACAAAGTTGTGGACTGTTAAAAATTACTCTTCTCCAAGTCGGATAGAAGCCACTCAATCCTTACTCTTGATGAAGACGAATATACGACCACAACAATACCTCGACTCAATAGTAGGATAACGAGAACAGTTTAATAAAAGGATCTTTACAATCTCCACTGAAGGTAATACTGTAACATAGACATCTGTATATACGGTGGTTGAACTGCCCGGATAACACATTGGTGTTCGATGTAAATGGCACTCGGCTCAAGACCCATCAACATCAATTATCGGATCCAGGAACACGAAGTTGACGAGTCCCGAATGGGACGGAACGCGTGTCCTAGATCCCACTGCTCGACATATTCTATCTATTCTTCACCATTATCATTATTTAGACTTTGCTCCCTCTTGTGATAATAAGTCCTGTCACTGCGGTCATCAGAGGTGTAACATCTTGAACCGATGAATATTTGACCCAGATACTCTTATCTATGACTGACTGACGGGAGAAAACGCTTAAACTCTAGGCCATTGAGTTGGTATCCAGATCAGTCTAACTCATTCAAAAACCGGTATCAATTAAAATTTTTATAAAACACACAATCTTAGCTTATCCATATAAGAGTGAAATTTCTAATAAAAAGAAAACAAACGTAATATGAAAGTAGTTACCTGAAAATTTGTACGAACATCTTCAATAGTTCCAGATTCGAAAATTGATCTCAATTGTTTGTCTTGTGGTGGTTCTTTTTTACAATACAAACGATAAATATCAGGTAAACTGTTTAAACTAGTTTCTGAAAGCCAATCGAGATCCTTTATTTGCATTAAAAGTTTCAAAATAATAAAAAAGTAGGCTAAACTGTTGGTACAAAAAATGAGAAGTTAATCAGTTTTAAGTAAATAATAATAATAAATTAACGTTGACTCAACAAAAAAGTCTGAGAAAAACAGAACATATGAAGTAAACGCTTTCCTAGTGATTAAGGAAGAAGTAAAAATATAAAACTTTCTACTGGGATTCTCAATACTTGCTAGAGTCCAGGTATGTCTATACAGCTGTTTGAAATAGAACAGGTAAGTGTTTTGGATTTCATACGTTATCATCAACCAGTGCATATAAGTTCGTAGGTGGTGTCAATATTAGATGATCTAAACAGTGAGCGAATATACCAACAGAGTGCTTTGATAAAGCAAGATGATAATAGAAAAAACACCGAACTTTAATGATATATTATTATACAATAAATTTGAGAGGAAAGTCTCATTAAATATGCCATCAATATTTTAGTGACATTTCCCTAAGAACTGCCGTAACCATCTTTTATATTTGGTGTGATTTCTCTTGCGTCACATAGCAAGCGCTAACTTGTAATTGTGAAGGGAGTCGGGAAAGAGGAAGACCAAAGAAAACACTGCGTCGAGAATTGGAAGCAGATATGAACAGGATGAATAGAAACTGGGAAGGATTGCGCAGGACAGGGTTGGATGGAGAGTGCTGGTGAGTGGCCTATGCTCCTGCATGAGGGGAACAAGCATAAGTAAATAAGTGATTTCTCTTATTACGACCTAGCTACTCTTATTGCTTAATATTCTTTTGGACTTTTCACTCGAGAAGTCCCTAAATGAAAACACGGTTGAACAGGAACGCAACTATATTCGAGGCAAGAGTCACAATAAGAAAAACGTTAGCATATTTACAAATTTACACAAGAATATTCTAGAGTTTTCTATCTGGGCTATCTGTTCCTGCCATCTAGATATTTCAACAAGCTATCTGTTGCTTTGTTTTAAAATATCATTATGTCAATTCATTGCACAACCTAATCAGGTGCGCTTGTGAAGAAATTTACGACCTTTCTCAGTACAAGTTACAAAAATGTACAATCGGAGACATTGTGATTGCTGGCAATATGGATTGAGAAGAATGAACACTATTCAGATGTCGATTTCTGAAATACTAACATTTAACTGGCGATCGCTCAATATTTATGGTCAATATCGATCAAGAAATAAGAAACGGAAACTCGCTGAAATACTTTATGCCGAGAATTCTATATTGTACCAAAAGTATGATATTGAATAAAGCTAACATTAATAATAATAATAATAATAATAATAATAATAATAATAATAATAATAATAATAACACTAATAATAATAATAATAATAATAATAATAATAATAATAATAATAATAATAATAATAATAATAATAATAATAATGAAATAGTAAGTAACCGCTGACGTTGATGGGCTAAGTGGTCAATCAACGTGCTCGAGCCCAACCGTGCACGGAACATGTTTTAATCCAATGTATATCCCGCTAACACTTCCCCTTTGAGCGAATTCATTGGATTTAGTATCAGGGACCACCTGCAAACGCATGACTGGTCTATGATATCGATTTTTCTACCTTTCAGACAATAAAGAAGCTCTATCACTCTTTGTCATCACGAAAACTAACCTGTACGCTTCTGGGGTTTTTATTCGAAGGTTTCCAGCAAAACATCAAGAGGTATTGAATGTCTGGTCTCGTTGCTGGCGACCAAAGTTGCTTTTATAGTTGGTCAGCATGATGCATCCAAACTTACGAAACAAATGACAGCTGGTAAACAGCATTTCTTTTACTTTCCACGATTCGACCAGCTATCTATGTAAGATGCTTGCTACCATAGTCCATAGGAAATACTTTTCGACCCATAATGAGTAGTCGTCTTTATGCCCCATGATGTAGATTGTGTTTCCTTTGATCTGTATCGTTGAGACTCAACAGCTGGCGGCATCGAAATGTGTTCGTATTTTTATGCCAAGTTAAGCTTCTGGTGGAGAGACCCTATAATTGTCTGAGGGCTTAGTGTAGAACGACAGATGAGCGGGAACCTCACCAAAATCTTTTCAGTGTTCCAACACCCTCTTGGTTTCTGTAGAGTATTTTTAAATATAATAAAACGTTCTACTTGACCATTGTATTACGGATGTAATGGAGGTATTCAGACAAGATTAATTCTCTTCTAAGGACAAAATTCTGAGATAGCAGACTAAATTGTGTTTCATTGTCGCCAACTATTAACCAGGGAACCCCGAAACAACTGAATAGTTGACATTGTTTTCTGACAGTATAGCTTGCAGTTGAATGTTTCATAAGAAAATTTTTTGGCCACTTACTGCATGCATCAACTACCATAAGGTTTGTCCATGAAGTAGGCCAGTGGAGCCCAAGTGTATACGTTGCCACGATGACTATGGTATTGACCATGATTACTGCTCTGCTTTCCGCGGCACTTTTGCTGCCAATGCGCATTTGTTATAAAGACGAGAGGATTGATCCAGTTGGTTGTCTAAATGCGGCTAGTACACATAACTTCGGGCTAGCGATTTCATTTGATTTGTTCCAAGATGTACTGCATGCAACTGTTCATGCACTGCTGGTTCCAGCTTCTTTGAGAATATGACACGTTCAGCTAACAGAAGGTAGTCATCAATTATTGAGCTGGTAAAACGCTTGAAATTCTGTGCACCTGAATTTCGACGGCCACCCTTCTAAGCGGAACTTTTTGACTTTATGTAGGACTGTGTCTCGAACAATTTTACACTGACTTCACCTGATGACACTGGAGTCTTCCGAATGACATCTGCTAATACACACATTATTTCTGGATCTACAGCTATGCAGGCAATGATCATGTCTTACAGTCCAGGGTGAGAGAGGGTATCGATTTGACTGATACTTGATATTGAAATCATAGCTAAAAAACATTGACGCCCAGAACTATAATCTGTCAGCAGTATAAACAGGGATACCTTTCTTCGAACCAAAAATTACAATAAGATGCATGTAGTCGAAGCGCTGCTTCTACCTTGAGGTAGCAGTAGAGCTTGCCTATCGTGATGACCCAACCGAGCTATATTGGCTGGAACGTAGGTTCCATTAGGTCCTAAAATGCTAGGCTGGTCGGTTGGAGAACGGTAAGACTAAAAGCAACAACTCAAGGTCTGAGGACGAAGTCATACTGCTGACTGTAGAGGGGTGTGACATCAGTAAGGTGTTTCCCTCGGGCAACCAGCATCTGCAGCGATGCTGCCTTCTCACAAGGAAGAAAGGGGTTAGAAAAGGTCAACCCTAAAAATGTCACGCCTCATCTTACCCCACGGATTTCCGTCTTCGGCGGTAGGGCCTTTTGAAATGCGGAGATGACATATTAAAAACCTCTGATGAAAAGGCGGTGTGCAACTGGCCCTAAACAGTTATCCCTTGATCTGAGATCAAGCCTGTTGGGGCTTTTAATGTTCGAACACTGTGTCAGACGGGAAAAAAGGTTTCCTTAGCTAGGACTCTAGAATCTAGTAACATCGGTGTATGCTGCGTCTTCAAAACACATATACAGGACCCAAGTACAGTCATTTATATGATCTCACCTTGTCAATAGCAAGGACCATCACGACTGACCCCTCGAATATCTGAAGACCTTACTGCTACTTCCCATGACCTCGCTGGTGTAGGTATAGAATTAAGTTCTAAAGCAGAACAGGTTGTTGATTGAGATCATGAACGCCTGAACAGATTGTGTTAGACTGGATCCCAATAGACAGTTGTGTTGTGCGTTGTTCTGTAGTGAAGGAGAACACATATGAGGACAACCGAATTATATTTAGCACAAATTTACAGAGTTACTTGGTAAAATCGAAAAACCATACTTTAAAACTTAATTTGCAAAATGCTCATTAGTTGTCCCAGACTTCATTGTTTCTGCATTTCCATACCAATTGCTTTCTATTCCCGTTCTTTCCTTCTTGATCTTCTCAATCTTCTGCTGCCAGACATTATATTCCTGACTCGAGTTATACACTACTTATTTCAATATAAGTAACACATACCATACTCGTCCCCCCTTTTAATAAGGTGTCGTCGTAGTCTTTCCGATCGCCACATCGCTGTCTTCTTTGGTGCTGTTCGTGACTCGCACTCGTGATGATCTTGAAACTATCTCTGCAGTTGACTGGCATTTACGTGCTTCTGCTTTTCTTCTCTATGGATCGTGTAAACCGAGCCACGTCTCTCCGTGACAATATACGGTCCTTCTCACTTCGGGATCAGCTTTTCTGACCCTGATCCCCCTGTTATGTTACTTTTCCATTCTCTACACTTTACCAGGTCTCCCACTGCAAAAGGCTTCCACGTTCTCCTCTGCTGTTCCGCCTTCTTTATGTCTGATATTTGTTTCTTCTCCACGTTTCTTATTACCTCCCTCCACTCTTTTCTTGACCTTAATGTTGTCCACTTCTATTGTTGTGGGCAGATCTTATTATGCATAGGAAGTCGTGGGCGTCTACCATATATAGCAGAAAAGGTGACTTCTTGGTTGTCCCTTGTATGGAGGAACGATTTGCCAGAAAAATCAATTTTAATTCTCTCTCTCAATTTCCTCCTTTAGATGCCAACCATTCATTTAACGTCCGTTGTTTCTCTCTGTAAGCCCGTTTGAGGATGATATGGAGTAGTTCGTATCCTGTTGATGCCAAACTGCTTTAGACGGGCTATAAACTCGTCACTTTCAAAACAAAGACCCTGGTCGGTTAATATCATCCTCAGTATTCCGTGACGTCGAAAAGAATGTGATTGTCCTGGAATTTGCCGAAGGTTGAGTATTTGGTCTGTACCTTCACGTCCAGGTCCGAAATCAGCCTAGTTCCTCGGGTTTGGTCTTCACAAGCTATTGTTAGACATCGAAGTATTATTGAAGCGAACATTTTGTATACTATGTTAGGTAAAGTGGTTTCTCTGTGATTTTTACAACAGGACTTTTATCCTTTTATTATAAATTGGGACAATTAGTGATCGAGACTAGTCAGATGAAATTAGGTCCAGTTCCCAGGTTTCAGCTAAGATCCCAGTTACTTTAACACCTAAAGCTGGACCACTATCTTTGAAAATCTCCCTTGATTAGTCCATCAGGCTCTGTTGCTCTCCCTTGCTTTAGATTACTGATAGCTGTTTCAACCTCATTAAAAGTTGGAGGGTTCTCATTAGTTTGCCATTTAGGTTGCTTGGAGATAGTGGGTAACTCAAATATGGTTGAACGCCAGTTGGACTGTTTCCTAAAGTGTTCTGTCCATTGATTTAATCTTCTGAATTGAGAGTAAATAATAGTCCCGTCTTTTTCCGAAATAGTTTCACTAGCAGCCGTATTTCTAATGGTCATTTCCTTGATAAGTCTGAACAGTTGCCTACTGTTACCTATCGCTGCTGCCTTTTCCATTTCTCCTGCTATCGCTACCCTCCACTGCTTACGATCATTATGTAGGCTTTTGATCGATCTACATATAACCTGCCTCCACTCGTTGTGTTCTGAGCCAGACGAGATGGGTATCCGAGCATCTATTAGTTCAATAGATGGGGCTAAAGTCTAATCTTCACCAACATTTTAGTTTAAGTTACTAGTATATGTAGTATCGATTGCTATGTTCAGCCCACATAGCTTATTATAGCTTCCGAACAGGCTAATTTATTTATTCTTCTTGAGTCACACTTTGACCTTGTTAAATATTCGCTTATCAGCTTTGACTGTTTTTATATGAGCATATGTGTGTGTATTTTTTATCCCACTAATCAAATGTTTGTAACTTATTTTGTGTGACTATGGGTATCGATTAACGCTTGGTTAAATCGAGTTGGCTCACACGCCTCCTCCACCACGCGTCATTTCGCTTCGCTCTCGTCACTTCGCTTTCCTCGATTCGTTTCTCCTATCGTTTGTCTGAATCAATGATTGTATGAAATATACGTATTCGAAATCCATTCTCGTGTTTGACTTATTTAACTCCGTTATTCACTAACGTGAGTTAAGTCGATGATTATATACGAGGATAATCAGGATGTATACTTTGACAACAATCATTCATACGATCTACCTGGATTCAGATATTTGAAGGCCACTACATAGATATCACGGTTGTTTTCATAGCTTTTTGGATTATTTACTCACTACTTACGCCTGTTACCCCTCCTGGAGGGGCATATGCCGCTCACGAGCACTCTCCATCCAACCCTGTCCTGCGCAATCCTCTCCAGTTTCTATTCATCCTGTTCATATCTGCTTCTGATTCTCGACACAGTGTGTTCTTTGACCTTCCCTCTTTTCCATTTCCCTTCATGATTCCAAGTTAGGGATTGCCTCGTGATGCGGTTTGGTGATTTCCGTAATGTATATCATATCCACTTCCAACATCTTTTCCTAATTTCATCTTCAGCTGCAAGCTGGTTTGTCCTCCCACACAGTACGCTGTTGCTGATGGTATCTGGTCAACGGATATTGAGTATCTTACGTAGACAACTGCTTACAAATACTTGTACCTTTTTGATGATGGTTATAGTAGTTCTCCATGTTTTGACTTCGTACAGTAGAACTGACTGTTTTGACGTTCGCATTGAAGATTCTCACTTTGACATTGGTTGACAGTTGCTTTGAGTTACATATGTTCTTCAACTGTAGGAATACGGCCCTTGCTTTGCCAATCCTCACCTTTACGTCCTCAGTGGATCCTCCATGTTTATCCGGGCAGATATGTGAAAGACTCCACATCTTCCAAAGCTTCTCCATCCAATGTGATTAGGTTGGTGTTCTCGGTGTTGCATTTGAGGATCTTGCTTTTTCCCTTGTGTATATTGGGGGCTACTAATGCAGAAGCTGGTGCTACACTAGTTGTCTTCACCAGCATTTGTTCGTGTGAATGGGATGGAAGGACCTGGTCATCGGCGATGTCCAAATCTTCTAATTGATTCCGGGCTCTCCACTGTATCCCGTGCTTATCCTCAGACGTCGAGGTATTCATTCCACTGACCTAAGTCCCCACACCTACACACAAAGAGTAATCGGCCTTATGGGACATAGAATCTGGAAATGTACATCAACCCAAATGAACGGGCCACATCCATACAACGAAATGTAAACAACAGGATAAATGGTCAGGTAGTAGAAGTGGCAGTATCGATAGTAGTAAAAAATTATACTGAACGGAAAATCTATTCCGAGGAAAAGGAAAGAAATTAGCTGTCTCAACCCCATATGCTGTGTGGAAAATGAAAGTTTGGGAATGTTATTTTAAGTGAGCAAATTATTCACCTAGATACGGCAATAACCTACAGATTTGTCTAGATCGATCCAATAACTTTTACAAACATACAAATGATTTAAGTGCATCATCATTCGGCCTTTGACACAAATATTCCTACACATTATTAGTCCATCTACTCTCGCATGGTAGGTTGAGGCTGAGCGTAAGAAAGTGAAAGATTATGACTGAATAGAACTAGATCATAACATCATGATGGGCAACTTGATAATTTGATGACCGCTCCCCCATGAGCTCAGACTCGACCAACAACGTTTGCGCAAGGACCTTTCACAAGGTTTATGCACATTTTCGGTACACCATTTAGTGTCAAACAATAACATAAAATTTTCCGGTCGAATCTAGCCTTGAGACCAAGAAGTATAACTACAGTCGGGCGTAGGTAGGTAGATATAGTCATGAATTTTGACGGAAAATACGTATGTGATCGATACATCAACACTCAGATCAGAAACCAGCTTAGTTTTTTCTAGTTTTCTGTTCACGAGCTCCAGTTAAGCTACAGATGATTGTTAAGATTAATATTTAGATACTATGTTGGTCAAATAGATTTCTCTGTGGTTATGACAAGAGTAAATAAAATTCAAATCACTAGATTACTTTTACTCTTGCTTATAAACTGAAACAACCAGTGACCGATAGCATCCATATAGGATTACATATAATTACCAGACTTCAATCAACGCCTCAGTAAAATTAAAGACTGAAAAGAATAGTCATTCTCGAATTCTTCTACACGTAATCCATCAGGTCCAACTCCTCTCCTTTGATCTAAATCAACTACTACCTTTTCAAAATCGCTGAATCAGATGGCTTATATCAATCACCCACTGATGTTGTTTAAGAATAGTGGATAACTGGAGAGTAGTTGAAGATCGGTTGAACTGTTTCCTTTAAGCGTTTCGTACATTGTTCCAGATATGTAGACTGGTTCCATCTTTTAGGATATATTTCTATTAATAGCTGACTTTCTAATACTTTTTTAAAGTTTTAACAGTCGTCTATCACCACTACCTTTCTCGTTTCTTTGATTTCCACTACTGCGCAGACTGAATGAAACCTAATACAGAAATTCCTGAGTATCTTAACCAGGAAATTAAAATATACGCACTTAAAATGTGGCCTAAGTGCAATCGAAACCGACTCCAAAAGTAATAGGATATCCTCTGTAATGACTCAGCCACTTTATAAAAAAATGTACTGCTGGTTGGTAGTGAAAGATTTGTCATATTGGTTAGTACCGTAAATTAGTTAGACCCGAAGGATCAAATGATCTAAATAATTCAGCTTTATGGACTGAAATAATCTTCAAATCTCAGAAAATAATTCGATCACAAATAGATACTGAAAAATACTACGTAACTGTCAAGTTATTTCGATGCAATTGACAACCACTACTGATCAATATATGCATAATCTTCAACTTCATACCCATATCATCTGTGGATAGTGGCATTCTTGACTGGAATCCTATGAAATATTTTCAGTGAGAACTGCCTTTTTAAAAGTCATTAGCATAGTGAAGTAATAAAAACTCCTAAATGTGTCACATACAGAAGCAGTAAAACCAAATTATTTACAAGAATTAAATTCTTTAAAAAGAATTAGGGCATTAAACATGGGAATGATACAGGAATAGCACTGATTAAAAAACATGAAGTACTTTTGTCTTACCATAACAAGAGCTTCTGTATTAGGCTTTCTATCTAGTGGTTGTCTATCATTCTTCCTTCCAATAAACTCTTGCCACGTCTTGTTGTTAAATAGGTGTTTGTCTGCAGATGTTTTAAGGAACCTTTGAGTACTGGTCAAACCCGATACAGCAACATGAAGAGAAAGAGTATCCACAAATCGAAGTCCAGTTCCCTAATGATTCAACAATAATTAAGTAAACGTACATACATCCAGAAGATACTCTTCCAATATTCTAGCACGATCATAACTAACAAAGTGTCCAATAACACACTTTGAAATATCTTTATTTTTTGAACCATAGATAGGAATAAGAGAATTAAATGCGTTGATATCGTTTAAGCAATTATCATCGTAAACAGAAAGACGTTTTGAAGTCCAAGAATACCTACAAAACTGAAGAACAACATTTAAAACATACCACCCGTCCGACGTAAGAGCCACTGCCATTGTTGGTACGTGACCTTCTTTAACGAGAACTTCTGTATCAAAAATAAGAGCATCTTCAAGTGGTGCTTCGACTGAATATGTTTTGTCACCTCTATATCTTTAATAGATCTGCAATTAAACATATGCATATACGTACTTTGTCCATCCAGACGAGGATTCCCAAATCTTAGGTAGTTCTGGTGGGGAACCAAAACTCTCTAACAATTTCATATAAGGATGAGAAAGCTCTTTTGCAACTGAGTCTAAATGTTCTTTAACATTGCTTCCACTAAGATCAGGAATACTAAAATAAAGCGGGTTTTTGTAGTGTCTACTAGATGTAATGTCAATTCCCAGGCGACAGAACTCTTGGAGTATTTCAAATGAAGCCTTTTGATAGTCGTATTTTTGACAATCAAAGAGGACCTTCTGAAAATTCCGATCGATCATCAATATGTTAACCTCGTTGTACGTTGGTGATTGCTTGGGATGATTAGACGAATAGAAACATAAACGATGTTGTAAAAACATTCCTTGGTTTCTCCAATAAATAGCGAACCTTGAGTGCATAATATGTTAAGTGAAGAATTGGGAGAGATCAGCTGAAAATGCCTACTTGATCATGAAACATCAAGATGGTCTGAAAATAATGGAACATTTTTTATTAACCTTTACCAGAAGGAAGAATTCAAGAAATACAGAAATAGAATGTCGAACTAAAAATATCATAAAAACAAAAAAATACTTCGATCAACAATCCTAAATAAATGATGAATAACATAATTTTGCGTTCTGAAATACATTGGTTGTAACCGCCTTCTTATGATGCCATTGAGATGGTGGAGAATATTTGTAGCTCAGGTGGATGATTTTGATGGAGTTTTGTTCTCTGACCTGAATGGTTCGGTCGTGGAGCCTTTGTCCCTATGTTTGTGCACAATTTTCCAACCAATCAGGAAAATTATGCACAAACATAGGAACAAAAGTCAAACCAATGAAAAACAAAACCAAAACAAAGAAGTAAACACTGACAAATTTAAAGTCAACAAGAACCAATCAACATCGAGGTGTACAGGACAAGCTGTGAAACACATATGGAGAAATTCGAACCCATCACTTCTATATGACGTTTGTGCTGATGTCGTTGTTTCAGGATTGGGTTGCATCGACACTCGAACTAATGGTAGGGAGTGAAGTAGTTGAACGTGTCGACCGCTTCACTTATCTTGGGAGTCTCATCAGCCTTTGTGGTCAGGTGTGCGACGAAATCTCAGCACGGATACAGAAGGCTCGACTAGCTTTTGCCAACTTGCGTCATTTATGGCGTGGGCGAGATATCCGTCTACTAACCAAAGGACGGGTTTACGGCACAGTATAGTTCCTTCTGTCCCACTTTATGGCAGTGAAACATGGCCGGTAAGAGTAGAGGATATTTGTAGGTTACTAGTATTCGATCATAGGTGTCTTCGAAGCACTGCTCGTATATCCTGGGATCACCGAGTAAGTAATATAGTTGTTGGGAAATGGGTACTAGGTAAGAATGGCAAATCAATTGATGAAGTAGTGAAACTTCACCAGTTGAGATGGCTGGGACACGTGTTACGTATGCCCAACCACAGACAGCCCCGACGTGCGGTGTTTCATGGTGTAGGAGTAGGTTAGAAGAAAGCTAGGAGCGGCCAGACCGAAACATGGCACAAATCCATGAAGTCACTGACAAGTGGACTGTTGGCAGGTGTAGACTATCTGGTTGGGATCCGCGAGATGATGGCAACCGATGGTTAGAGACCTTGATTGAAATGGCTCAAAATCGTTTGCAATGGAGCAGGTGCATCCACTGTTTGTGTTCTACCAAATCCTAATCTTCTGAATTCTTTATGTCCCTTTTTTTCTCTTTCCAAATTCATTTCACTGGATTATACTCTTTGAACAACACCTTCAAACCTCTTTTCGATTACTGCTTATACTTTTACTACCTCTACCACTATGGGATTTGGATCGGTAACCGCATCTCTGTGCCAATGTGGTATGGCAACTCGAAATGATGTACGTACGTACGAAGTTCTACGTTATTACAGATAAACTGACTGACTGGTGATCCCAGCAGATGCAAGTAATACTTCTAAGGCATCCGTGGTCAAATACTAGTAGCTTACGAGTATCTCCTACTCGTAATGGCTACGTTTCGCAGCGTAAAGTAGAACAGAACGAACTGTTGCACAGTATACTTGTCCCTTAATTGATAGACATGTAGTAAGCCCATTCAACTACTGTATTATTTATGTGCTTACTGTAATTTACACACTTAATCCACCATGAAATTTTCTGTGTGAGTCTGATTGAGTACATGTCTGTACAGCAATCTTTAATCTATTCTCCCATTGGTTGTAATACATAATCAATCAAGAGACAACTGTTTGAGGCCGGTCGCGCACGGCCTTTTTGTGGGAGGTCTTTAACGTGTTAGCTCCGTTCTTCAAAGGGGACGGAAGTCCGTGAAATAAGGTGAGGTGTGACATTTTTAGGGTTGACCTTTTCTAACCCCTTTCTTCCTTGTGAGAAGGCAGCATCGCTGTAGATGCTGGTTGCCCGAGGGAAACACCTTACTGATGTCACACCCCTCTACAGTCAGCAGTATGACTTCGTCCTCAGACCTTGAGTTGTTGCTTTTAGTCTTACCGTTCTCCAACCGACCAGCCTAGCATTTTAGGACCTAATGGAACCTACGTTCCAGCCAATATAGCTCGGTTGGGTCATCACGATAGGCAAGCTGGACCACCACGTCAAGGCAGTAGGTACAGTCGGGGACGTCGGTATTTCTAGGAAGAGAAAAAATCTCATTGGATTATGTCTCTATTTCCTCCTCATAGACTATTTGCATTGTATTCAACTATGGTAAAGACAAAATCTTGGACACTATTTAAGATAAGTCACTCAGACACAACGTAGGACCAAGCACATATGTGCATCGGTCCAAGTTGCCATACATCATTAGCACTAGAAGATGAACACCGGATTCATAGAATATATAAAAGAATGATTGCATATAAGGATGTGGTACAGGAAGAAAGAATTAGTTGATAGAAAGAAAGATATGAAGTGATTTTAATCTTTTAGTTTGAGGGAAGACGGATAGTGTATACACTTACGCCATTTTGGTCAATTCTGAGTCATGTCACCAAGAGTCTCCAACCATTGGTTAGGACGGTCACGCGGACCCCAACCATGTAGTCTGCATCTACCAACATGGCTCAGCCTAGAAGTTAGTGGCTTCAAGCACTGGTGCCACGTTTTGGTTTGGCCGCCCCTAACTTTCTTCCAACCATCCCGAACACTAGTCAGCATTGCGCGTCGTGGTAATCGGTGTTCAGGCATACGTAACACGTGGCTCAACCACCTCAGTCGATGAAGACTCACAACTTCATCAACTGATTAACCATCATTCCCTAATACCCTGCGTTTAACCTCACTATTACTTACGCGGTTATCCCAGCAGATGCGAGCAATATTTCTAAGGCATCCGTGGTCAAATACTAGTAGCTTACGAGTATCTCCTACTCGTAATGGCTACGTTTCGCAGCGTAAAGTAGAACAGAACGAACTGTTGCACAGTATACTTGTCCCTTAATTGATAGACATGTAGTAAGCCCATTCAACTACTGTATTATTTATGTGCTTACTGTAATTTACACACTTAATCCACCATGAAATTTTCTGTGTGAGTCTGATTGAGTACATGTCTGTACAGCAATCTTTAATCTATTCTCCCATTGGTTGTAATACATAATCAATCAAAAGTTAGTATTTGCAAGAAACAGGCGGTTATCTGGGCATGGCTGCAACAGACGGTCGCCATTATCTGTTCTTTGAGTCACGACACCATAAGATCCACCCAGGTGTCTTTCCCTATCGCTTAGTTTACCTACTTGAGCATTAAAGTCACCAGGTTGGAAAGCTTTCTGTAAAACTCATCTTTTACATCATCTGAGCTGCAGTCAGTGGGAGAATAGGCAGAGACGACGAAGAGACAACGACGAGCGTCCCTATCTTTCCGAGCCCTTACTGTTTCGTTTAGTCGGACAGCGCACAAGCGACTGTCCACTGGGATCCAATCTAAGAGAGCTAGTTCTGCCCTAGGACTCAATGCTATACCTACGCCGGCGAGTCCACGAGAAGCAGGTCAAATGAATGGAGCTAATCAGATCCTGTATGCACGTTTTGGAGGCGCAGCAAACATCGATGGCGCGAGATTCTAAAGTTCTAGATAAGGAAGCCTGCTGTCCTGTTTGGCACAGTGTTTGGACGTTAAAAGCTCCTACATGTAGTTTAGAGCATGGTTTCAGGAGACCAGGAATAACGTACCGAGTACTTGAATCGTGTACCCTAGCGGTGCGAGGTGGTAAAGAGACGTGAGGAGGGTTAGTCTTGGGGATAAGAAAGTTATTACAAGATGTAGGAAGGATTTTAATGTGATCAACTTGGTCTCGTGTGCTGTTACGGTTATGAGGGCTGGTGTCACTCCCCGGCTGCCCACACCGTGGAAGGCTATTTCTTGAGGAACCCGAAAAAAATTTCGATTAATGTTGGTCTTAGCCACCTGGGAGCGTGACCGTAGAGCTCAAGAGACAACTGTTTGAGGCCGGTCGCGCACGGCCTTTTTGTGGGAGGTCTTTAACGTGTTAGCTCCGTTCTCCAAAGGGGACGGAAGTCCGTGAAATAAGGTGAGGTGTGACATTTTTAGGGTTGACCTTTTCTAACCCCTTTCTTCCTTGTGAGAAGGCAGCATCGCTGCAGATGCTGGTTGCCCGAGGGAAACACCTTACTGATGTCACACCCCTCTACAGTCAGCAGTATGACTTCGTCCTCAGACCTTGAGTTGTTGCTTTTAGTCTTACCGTTCTCCAACCGACCAGCCTAGCATTTTAGGACCTAATGGAACCTACGTTCCAGCCAATATAGCTCGGTTGGGTCATCACGATAGGCAAGCTGGACCACCACGTCAAGGCAGTAGGTACAGTCGGGGACGTCGGTATTTCTAGGAAGAGAAAAAATCTCATTGGATTATGTCTCTATTTCCTCCTCATAGACTATTTGCATTGTATTCAACTATGGTAAAGACAAAATCTTGGACACTATTTAAGATAAGTCACTCAGATACAACGTAGGACCAAGCACATATGTGCATCGGTCCAAGTTGCCATACATCATTAGCACTAGAAGATGAACACCGGATTCATAGAATATATAAAAGAATGATTGCATATAAGGATGTGGTACAGGAAGAAAGAATTAGTTGATAGAAAGAAAGATATGAAGTGATTTTAATCTTTTAGTTTGAGGGAAGACGGATAGTGTATACACTTACGCCATTTTGGTCAATTCTGAGTCATGTCACCAAGAGTCTCCAACCATTGGTTAGGACGGTCACGCGGACCCCAACCATGTAGTCTGCATCTACCAACATGGCTCAGCCTAGAAGTTAGTGGCTTCAAGCACTGGTGCCACGTTTTGGTTTGGCCGCCCCTAACTTTCTTCCAACCATCCCGAACACTAGTCAGCATTGCGCGTCGTGGTAATCGGTGTTCAGGCATACGTAACACGTGGCTCAACCACCTCAGTCGATGAAGACTCACAACTTCA